GTAGCACTGCACTGAGGACACTCATAACTTCGCTGTCGCTAGACTCCCAATCCGCATGGATGGTTGTTACATTTCTCGGGGCACGACGAAATCCAAAGTGCGTTCAACTGTACTGCCCATAGCTTCTCACTTACCGCTAGAGCTGCAGGATAAATAACCAGATCATGTCCTCGAGCCGCATCGAGCTTAAGCTGGTGTCAACGTCAACGGCAGCCATGACTTTCTCCCCGTCCAAGCTATTTACCAGCAGCACGCGCCACCTTATCTCCCCCCATTTAATCCTCATTGACATCGCGCTACCCCGACAATCGTATACTGGTCGACTTGTTCTCCGGCACATCCTTCCTCAAGCTTGCCAGCACCTCTCCAAACAACGCGATACGACGCACGAGCTCACTATTCTCTCTTCGTCTCGCTCTTCCCCCCACTTTCCACGACCACATTACGCACCAACCCCATGTCGCAATCGTCTGCCTGACGTTCGTCCTGGTAGGGAAGGTCACGTGCCGGGACTCGCCACACGACCCTCATGCATCTTGACCAACCCGACACGCATCGCTCCGCTGGGCATATCCCGCGTTTTGGAGGGCAAGGAATATTCGGCTCAATCCTTTTGACCAACTTATCTGGGGCGCAAGCTGATCCTTGCGCGCCTTTTGTCGAGAATCGTTTTTGCGGCCATACGTGCCGGCCTGGATAACAGCGTGGATACATGGGCGACTCTGGGACAAATATAATGAGGCCAGCATCATTAAACCTCACGCCACAGCCAACTTCGCCCACGTCGTTCGCTCGATACTACCTTTGCAGCTCCTTTCTAACGGCACAACTCCTGCCTCCTTATACTTATGTCATTTGCTCTGTTGCTACGTTATTTAGATACAATTTTCTACCTAGTAAAGCAGCCACATACAGTAGAATAGTACAAGAAACAATATGCATAAGCTACTGTCTGAGCCAACTCGGCTGCTTCAAGTTGGTATGAACATGAGCATATCGCAATGGCAACGCCGTCGGTGACATGAGAGCTCGCGGTCGCTTGTTCAAGAGATGGTCATTGTCAAGAGAGTAATACCAACAATATTGGTATGTATCGTTTGGGATGATGTCAATGTGACCTTTGTCGACTGGCTCACGATGAGACACGCCGTCACTTTAATCACTCAGCTCGCGGCACGGATAATATCAGTGCCACATACCCTCAAGTGAACTGCACCTGCATGCCGAACGCCGCATAACGCGCCAGCGGCGCGAGCGCTTCCTCCAACAGCGGCACGTCATCAGGCGGGACAGAGACAAACTTAACCTTCAAATGTGCCGTCCCCGCCTCCACCGCGCGCGCTGCCAGTTCTCTTCAATCGCAGCGGCAACCGCGGTCACCTGCTCCCTACGCGGGGTAAGCATGAGACAGCGCAGCATTGGGAGGACCTCGCGGCGGGCGATGCGGCCCCACACGTCCGGCGGAAAGTGTTCCGTTGAAGAAGTAGCAGTCGGTCCAAGCGGGGACCGTGAGTTCGACAGGAAAGGGTAGGTCGGTCGTCTAGCCGCAGAGGATATGTGAGATGATGTGGTGGTGGAGAAGAAGGTAGGTGTAGAGTAGAAATGTGGTAGAAATGTCGAGTATGAATGGAATGTGAACACTGAACACTTGTCCTCGGTGGGACACTCGAAGGCACTGGTGTGGACACTGAGAGGGCTCGGGGTAAGAAAGTGTAATGTATTCCTGATTGACAGGCCAGCTAAATACTGAGAAGAATAGGGGAGTAAATGAGTAATCATGTATTTGTAAGTAACTATGAGTGGGACATTCCACCCTTCCACAGTGGGGAGAACTTTGAATCTCGCCCTCGAGATCACGTGTATTTGGGTGGAATAACCACAACTTGGAAGGTAAGTAAAATAGATTCAATCAAAAGGACAACTTGATGACGGTATTGGAGCATGGAGGAAGCACGGCGGAGGGTGTGGACGTGAGAGTGGGAGAGGAAGCCGTGAACGCAGCGCTGACTCATCACTGGAATCCAGCTCATTAAATTTGTGTGCAATCTCGATGAACAAGGCGCGGAAATGCCGTGAAATGAGCGCGCCAATCAGAGTTTGGAAGAATTTGGTAAAAAGACAGGGTGAACATGGGGAATGTATGCGTTCATGAGTTCGATGACGTGAGCGCAACGGTGGAGCAGCATGGGGAGAACTTTGGATGTGCTCCGGTGGTGACTCAGGAACAGGAAAGAAATCGATTGAGATGCGTGTCGGTGTAGGAGGAATCTGAGGCGAAGGCTCGGATGGACGCGATGCGCGGTTGTATTGAGAAATTAAATGGCCGGCAACACCGCCAGCATGACGTGTCATCGGAATTGGAGAGCCATCTGGAAGAACGAGGCGTCCGCGGGAGTTGAAACAGACAAGGCCTCGACGTAGGAGAGTGTGTGTGCGTGGACAGTGTTGAAATCCAAGTGTGTGTGCATTGGTACGGGCACAGAGACGAAGCAGCGGCGTGAACGGGGTTTGCTCGATGGAAGTTCAGTAGGAGTGGCGGTTGACATGGGAAAAGCTTGGCGCGAGAAGCTCGGCTTTATCGGGGGATCGGGGTGATTGACAGGTGACAAGACGGAAAGGAGCAATCCTTGGCTGTGCGGTAGTCGCTATGGAGCAAATAGGAGCTAGACAGCGTGCTCAAGGACTCGGGAGCGTCGTGCAGGGCAATAGAGGAGGGAACTCGATGGTGGGAAGGATGCGGGAGTGCTTGGGAATGCTGTGGAAGCCGCGAAGACGATGATCCGAGCTCGTCTGATGAAGTCTCGACACGAGCGGCACGGGAGAAGGCTGAGACGGCACTGAGACCTAGAGAGGATTCAGTAGAAGAACCCTCCCTCGCGGTGGGCTCCACTGAAGAAGTAGCAGTCGGTCCAAGCGGGGACCGTGAGTTCGACAGGAAAGGGTAGGTCGGTCGTCTAGCCGCAGAGGATATGTGAGATGATGTGGTGGTGGAGAAGAAGGTAGGTGTAGAGTAGAAATGTGGTAGAAATGTCGAGTATGAATGGAATGTGAACACTGAACACTTGTCCTCGGTGGGACACTCGAAGGCACTGGTGTGGACACTGAGAGGGCTCGGGGTAAGAAAGTGTAATGTATTCCTGATTGACAGGCCAGCTAAATACTGAGAAGAATAGGGGAGTAAATGAGTAATCATGTATTTGTAAGTAACTATGAGTGGGACATTCCACCCTTCCACACCGTCGCAGCCACCAAGAATCCCAGGGACTCGAGCGTAGAGAAGTGTTCCAGGGAGAGGGTACACGTCGGAGATGGCGATGTGTAGCACGGTCACGAGGACACGGAGCCCGAAGCCTGAGCGCGTCTGGAACGCGATGAGCGCGCGAGTTGAGAGATAGCCATCAAAGCCGCAGCGCTGCAGGTTGGGGGCAACCAGACAAGCCAATAGCGTGTCGCCGCCGGTGCCAGCCGACACGAGGTAAATGTGTAGTCGAGGTTCTCCAGCCTTATCTGGACAGGCGAGAATTCCGACTCGGCGACGCCTGGCGGGTGCTTCTGGGCCAGGCCGGACGCCAATGTGGCATATTTCGAGCAACGGGCACTGCGAGAGGATACCTAGCCAAATGTCCGTGGTACACATCGTGAAAGCGAACTCGAGATGGCGCAAATTTCGCCACGGCAGCTCCACCCCCGCCGCATGCAACGCAACATACGTCACCGAGAAATTGCCCTCAGGTTCAGAGATGTAGATTTCGTCGGCTAACTGCGAGGTGGCGGTTATCTTTGGCCACACTGGCGAGAAGACTGCGTGCGACAGGCGCTCGGCGCCTTGTGAGCCCCGGGCTAGCGCGCCGCCATTGCCAGTTTGGCGCTTCCAGATCTTCCAGGTCGCTGTCAAAGATGTGTGGTCTGAGTTCAAGACCTTGCAGCTCGGGAAAGCCGCCTGCGGGCACGTCGAAAATTGCAGCGAGACACGATGGAGGGAATACGAGCCGGAGAAATTTTATACGGGATGTGTTTTGGAGCAAGATAGAGGCGATTAGTGCGGAGAGTGATGAGGTGAGAATGGGGTTCACGTCTGCCACAGCCGCGAGCTCTCTCGAGCATTCTATTGCCAACGATAGCGTAGTATTCATCGCCCTCGCCAACCAGTCACCTACACGAACAGCCACATTGTCCACTTGGATGTCGCTTCCTTGCGTGAGCTTGACCGCTACAGCAGACCAAAGCTCTTTAACACGCAAAACAATGCGGGCGCCAAGCAGGGCAAACGCTGGTCAACACGAATCTGGCTTGGGCGGGAGCGTTGTTGCGTTGGGGAAGTCAGCACACAGCTTGAAGATTTCCACGAGCAGTTCCGATGGGAGCATCTTCTGCGGTGGAATGCGCAGCTGCAGCGACTCCATCTTGGCTGCGAGCTGACCATACGGGTCCGGGGTGTTGTCGGCGACGATTTCAAGCGCGTGAAGCTCTTGCCGGCGGCTGGCAGAAGACGAATGTGTCGTGGCCATGAGCCGCAAGAGTTACTGTTGAAACGGGAAGACGCAAGGCTTGAGGAATAGCGCGTGTGTGAGCAAAGCTAAGTATGAGACGATGTGGTCGCGATCAAGGAAGACGCGTGCACGTGATGACCCGCCACGCCAATCGTCTCTGCCTCTGACCACCACGTCGAAGCCTCCCTCGGTCTCCTCTCTCCCAAACACTGTGCCACACTAGCACTACCGGCGGTACCCTAGCTCCTCCGTATCCATATCATTCCGGTCTCCGACAAACGCGCCTTCAAACGCCAGCTTTTGTGCTGCCCCCTTTGGCCGCATTAGTCTCTTATCATGCAGCAGATGCGACAGCGTCGGAGCTTCACTACCCTTATTTTCAGAGCATGAAGGTTTTCAAGTGCGTAGACCTGACTCGTTTTTCCTTGCTCCAACTGACCATCTGCAGAGTAGCAATTACAATGGCTCCGTCCGCTAAAACGCCTTAATCTCATCTGCGCGGATCCTCAAATGCATTCTGAGTACAAGAGGCCGAGCGGGAAAGCTTCAAAGGGAATCGGATGGAATACTGGTGCCGCTACCATCCTCTCGCTCCAACGCTCGCCTCTCTCGACCACGTTGGTCTCTCGTCATGTCATAGCTGCAGACGCGCTGGGTACTGAGCTCAATTTCGCCCATATTCAGACCATGAAGGTTTCTAAGTGCGTAACTTAACTTGTCTCTCGTTTCTCCGACTGACTGTCTGCAGCTCAGTTGCAACTCAAAAGTTTCGCCTCTGTTTTCACTGCCCGCCGGAGCGCCTCCCTCACATCTGCGTCGACAATTTATTGCGGTTAGAAGACAAGACGGCCGAGCAGAAGAGCTTAGTGCAGAATTGGATGGAAAAAAGGTGTGGCAAAGCGAGCTATCTTCCTCTCGCTCTAACACTCCCTCGTGGTTAAGATGTAGCATGTTTCTGCGCATGCCCCAGCATCCCTCTTTTCCACTCCTGCCCACTCCTTACCAGCATCTCGAGTCCACGCTATCGATATTCCCCCCTTTCCATTCCCAACGATTCAATGCATCCGTCGGCCTTGTCTCTTGGCCATAAACACCCCCACGTTCATACTCTCGCCAACCTTGCCTCGCGGCACTCGTTCGAAGACGAAGAAGACCTTGTTATGCGGAAATGGTTTCAATTGCCACATCTTCAAGGTCGCAAAATCAGCGTTGCCACCCCCATCTTCCACACTACCAGCCCATCGGCATCACGCTTTTACGCTAATCCACCACATTCTGGTCTCCGATCGCGAGTTTGAGCAAAAATCGTGCCCGCCGTGAGGCTTGCGCGCTGTCAGAAGGCGGGCCATTGACCATATGGCTTTGCCATCTTGCGCATGTGGATTTGCAGCATCGATCCGTCCAACGGTGGCGACTGCGAGCTTCTTTTTGCCAAAGATGGGAATGTCTGGAGCAACTGGCCACCTCGGATGCATTAAACTGATTACGCGTTCTCTGTACCTATCTACTATTGTGCCGTCAACCAGTCATTGTTACACCAACGAGAAACGAAATACATCTGAGTACGGACAAGTAGTGTATGTATCAATAGGTCGTAAATGCCTGGGAGCAAGGTATAGTAGCTATTGTCCTTGAAAAGAGGGAAGCAAAAGAACAACTTTTTTTGTTGTTGGGGAAGTTTCGCAGATAACGCGCCCGAGCGCGACCCGTTTTCACGAGGAACAAACCCCAGAGACAAGTGCAGAGGTCCCATCGCCTCCAAAATGCGCTAGAACATACCCTTGCATGCAAAGGGATGGCGAGATACAGGTTATGAAGCCCGTGTCTTTTGCAGCACGAATGGAAAATCGATTATTGCGCAAGTGTGATCCTCCTCCAAAACGGCGTCGACGAGAGTCTTCCCATGGGTTTTAGCGTCCGGAAAGAATTGAGTGTCGATAGTAGGTACCACTGCGCCACGAGATAAGGTGGATGGTGTCTCCCGTTGCACAGAGGCAAAGTCGCAAACTTTTTCGTGGGCAGCGTGACTGTGACGAGGTAGTGACGGGGGAGAGAAGTCGATCAAAAGCGCTCCTGGTGCGGGCGCTGGCAATGAAAACGTTTTGGCGGCAGGTACCAATGCTGACGAGGACATAGAGATACTAGAGAGTATTTCTGAATGGCCATCGGGTCTCGAAGTCTCGGTCTTGGGTAACATTGGCGCAAATGTTGTTTTCGGGGAGAGTGGGGAAAGGGGAATTGGAGTGGGCGAAAACCAACACGGTAATGAAGGAGGTTTTAAACGGGCTTGATTTCGGAGTCGGGGAATGGAAACAAATAGGACGAGCTTGGTGTCTTGTCCACGTCTGCCCGGACAATGAGCTCTTCTGTCGGCGCAGGCGTCATAGACTAGTCTACATCGCAAGTTAGTTCACTGGCCGTGGCTTTGCAGGCAAGATAACGCACAAGTACTTGATCGTTCTCTGCTCGTTTTGTTGACTTTGGGATAAGCAAGACAATGCGCTAGCGAGGAAGCGTGAATGGATATGAAGATACAGTGTGGCGCGTACATACAACGGTCAATTTGCACGCTGGGAGCCCAGCTTCCTTGACGGCGGCGCTGTTGTCGTCGTAGAGGTGCGTTGTCGTTATCCCAGCCATGGCCGGGAAGTAGGAAGACCGCCTGCTCGTAAATCGCTGGATGGACTAGCTTCTAAGGTTTCAGTGGGAGATGGCTGCCGTTCGCAAACATCTGCGGAGAGAAACGTCAGAAACAGGTTCCGTAAAAAAGGACAGCGTAGTTGGAGATGACGCACGGAAACGCGACCAGCAGGCTCGTCATTGCCGCCATCCTGAGTCCCTCCTCCCAAAAACTAGACGATGTCGGCTTTTGAGGCACCAGCACTGTGTGGTATTGGCCAGGAACGACTCGAGGCTGAGCGAGAGGTTAGTCAAGTGCCACGGTTATAAGAGCTCACCAAGCTGCTAGCCAGCTTCTCGAGCCTTGAAACTGAAACGGGTGTTGAGTCGATGTGGTTGAGAGGAGCTGGGGCAAGGAAGGTGTCCGTGGTGGAGGACCAGAAGAAAATGGCGATTGTCACGCTGGCCATCTTCGCCCATCTATGCTTACCACCAGCCTCAACCACGTCCGCCACCCCCAGGCCGTATCTTGCCCATGCGGCCGATTTCGCTGTCATGAGAGCGAAAGACGCAGTGCTTGTGGTGGAAGTCGCGAAAGAGAAATGGTGGTGGCTGTGAGGGCTGTCGGCCCGTTGATTTGGCCCACCACATGCATCCTCTCGCTCGTCAACAAACCCAGCGTCTAGAGCAACTTTCAAGCCCTCATAAATTTCGTCGTCTAGCATAACCTCCCGGTCTCTACTTACTGTACTCTCACAGGAAATCGCACAAGCAGCATGTCGTCCTGACTGTTCTGACCTCGAATTCAGGCAATTCACCCGTGGTTGGCTTACTGCCAATAATAACACCCGCGCTCTGCTTTTCCTGGTGTTCTTTGCCATCCTCGGTCCTACCCGCATACCCTCAACCACTGAACTCGAAATGCTGTCGCCGAGTACAAAAATCTGTATCAGTCGGGTCTTGGCGATTCTGAAATATCAGTCAATCCTCTTGCAATCCTCTCGTCCGCTGCCGAGTCCGATCTTCCAAAAGATATTTTCAAGCTTTCCGCATTCGTAATACCCTGGATGCGGTTCGCATCTGACTTTCACGAACATCTCGTGGCGGACGAAAACGATTCAAACATCTTCGGAAACACGAAATCGGGCACTTTCTCAACCCATCTACATGTTTACTGTCGGCATGCCTGCTCTTATATCAAGCATACTATCAAGCATACTGTTACTTTTGCGGCTAGGTAGTCGGTACTTTGGTTCTACTATTCCGCATAATTCCATACCTCGTACATAACTCTGTCGTTTCTATTGTCATCGACTCTACCGTCTTATTGGACTATTACATGACTTATTCTTTACCTGATTGTACGACCCGAGTACACTGGCAGACATTTCTTGCGACTATTTTTACTACTTTTACTCACCAAACTCGACCTCTTCTTCCCTCCATTCTGCCCCAGCATGATAGTTGATGATCTTGAGACCCTGGGCAGTCGCCTTGGGAAGAACCGCATACATCGCCTTTGCATACGTCTCGAAGAGCTGCTGGTGGAGCGGCGAGTCCACGGGAAATGTTTCTTTCTCACAGGGCACGCGCCAGTGACAGAAGCGAGGGACGCAGCGAGTTGATGCGCCGCCGGGGTGGCCCGCAATGATCTCGTCCAGCAGATGACATGGCGGCCTACTGGTGTTGCGAAACTCCAAACCGCTCCAGCGCGACTTCGAGTCATAGTCGTTGTATATATCGGGACGTAAACACAGCTGGGAGAGCACGGGGAATGCACTCTTTGTCATCAGGAGAGAGAGTAGTGCGAGTAGTCCCGGCGGGGGTGTCAGCGATGGTGATTGTGGGTCGTCGTCCTCGTCGCTTGACAGATTTCGATAGTTTATTTGGAGGTACCGCAAGCGCGAGAGGTGAGGGAGGCGGAATGGTGGAGTTGGATCGTGGTGCCCCTGCACTGCACAAGATCAGCATTGTGAACAACGCGGCGGGTGGTCACGAAGAAGTAGTCAATACTTACCGGGAAGCTCTATCGACAGGTGCACCAATGTTGCGCTGGCGGCAGAGCAGATATCATGCAAACTGGATGCGACAAGAATGTGGTCCCATCTGACAGGACTACCGGTCAGGACAAGGGTACGCAGGCATTCAACATGAGGAACAATAAGCTGATTTATCGGTAGCTCGAGATAGCAGATATCGAAAATTTCGGCTTTGAGTCGGCACAGGCGGGAGGGAAATGGAATTTCGGTTATCTTTTTGGTGCTCCCTGCGGGAGAGAGGAAAGCCATTTCCGCCACGAACTTGAGGCGCGGGTCGGAGATTACGAATGGACACAGTCGGACATGCCGTGAGGATGCGTGTAATAAGAGCGGCCGGAACGTTCAGGGCGTTGTTTACTTCAAGCTGGCGCAAAGTTCCGGTTGCTGCTTGGTTGCGAATGAACCTCTCGATAGCCATAGTGAATATGATCAACGAGGTGGACCGCCAGTCCCACTTAAGAAAGCGAGTGGAGATCTTCAGGACTGCCACATTCGTAAGCTGCTTGAACAATTTGGCCAAGCGACGGGACACTTGCTCCCACTGCCAGTCGTTGTAATCGATAGTGGTGGACAAGGTAAACGAGACAATATAGCGTGTGAAGTGAGGATATTCAAGTAGATGGGTTGCAAGGTCCGAGTCCTTCTCGTAAGAGTAGTCAGAGGCCCTGTTCTTATACTCTATCTTGACATTGCGATATAGCTTGCGCTGAGCAGGCTGGCGAAACACATTCGCAACGAGGCTGCACCTTCTGAGCGTCCTCGCAGTGTGAAGGTTGTCGATGATCAAAGCTATGAGTTCGGGGGGCAGAGGAGGTACCATAGAGTGGGACGGGGAGAAGCTGGATTGTTGTCTGTGGTCGTTTGGAACGGTGGTGGTCGCCGTCAAGCAGGAATAGGGTCGATCAATGAAAGCCATCATCACTCTTTGGCTTCTACCACCACTACGACCTTCACGACGTCGACTTCACCTGCCCAAATGGCCACGGAAATATCAGTATCTCAAGGCACAAGCCGGCCAGAGCCTTTCGAAGACGTGTCTGCAACAATTTAGGGGAAAGTCTCGGAAGCTGAGGAGCATCGGGTCTGGAGCCAGACCTTGTCGCGTGCGTGACTTCGACTCTTCTCTTCCTTAGCACTCTCTTATTATCATTCCTCTAGTGTGTAAAACTCCCCAATGCATAGTGCGCGTTTTTGCTGGTCGTGACACAATCTACAAACGCAATCTACGAAATCTTCTCCTTCGTCGACCAGTCATGCGACACCCTTCATCTCCAGCTTATTCTCCGTGGCGCGTAGCCCACTAGACACAATGTTTGCCCTCGCAAAAGGAGGATAAAGTTTTGGACCATAGAGCAAGACCTGCATTCGTGCTTAGCGTATCGCTTCACGTTGACATCCTCTCCTGGCGTCATCCACTGTCTCGAAACAGCCCTCTCTTCCTTATCGTCACTATTTCCCGGGCGAGAATCGGCTCGTGTCGACAACCCTACTTTTTTTGCAACGACTACAGCAGAATATCTATGGCCATGGAGTCCTCTCCCTCCTCTCCAACATTCCTCCATCCTTCTTCTATCGCCTTCGTGCTCGCCGAGCTTGCTCGAGCAATATATCGACTTCCCTCCATGCGGTCACATGGAGTCACGTCACATCGTCAAAGCGATTTTTCCATCTCGTCGTCCTCTTCCGATATCCCTCTATCCACTCGATCATCCTGTGTAACCGACTCAACCCTTCACGAAACATTAGTTTCAGCCCGCGTTACAGACGCAACGGTGGTCGGCGGGCCCTTTTTTGGACTCGTGCCACAATCGACAGACACACCTCGAGCTCGTTCTCGCAGCTCTACTGCGGCTGCTGCACTATATGCAGTGCTGCATATTGCCTTTTTCCTCCAGAGGATAGCGTTTTAGAGATGCTATTGTCGTGGTATATAGGTGGCCGACGGGTACTCGACATCGAACGGAACCTTAGCCCTGCATATCTTGTTCCAACGTGCTGTTGCTCGAAGACCATTATCTTCCTTTGCGAAAGCATCTTCTCCGACACCACGAATACTCTCCGTGTCCCATTTGTCACCTCCTCGTCTCGTTGTCGATTTCGGCGAAGCAGACGCCCCGCATTGCCCACTTACCATTATGATGTGCGGACTCTTCGTTTCACTCTGCAATCTTCTTACTAATATCTCCACCAGTAACTTGGCCTTCCTTTCCTCTCAGCGGTTTCCGACATCGCAAAGTCACTCAGTGTCTTGAATCCTTGTCCTTTGAATCAAACGAGGATAGCGAGGCAATTTGCGCAACCCACACTGTAGTTTGGTTAGCTCTCTCTCTATGTGATCCTCGCTCATTATTGATATTGCCTGAACACACTTATCTCGCTATTTCACACTTGATCTCATTTCTCTTGCTCTTTCCGCTTCTTGTTCTCGTAGTATCACCTCTGTATTTTTATTCTAGTTGGTTCTGATACACAGTTATTTGTTGCTACACACCACAAGTATTTACTCGTACCCCTACCACAGCTGCGTCCTGACGTGATTCCTTTGATCATTTCTGTTTCCTTTGGAAAAAATCCACCTCGTCGTCGTCGTAGCATGTCCCAGCAGGATATTCCACAACCTTGAGCCCTCGAGCCGTCGCATTGGGGAGGGCTGTGTCCATTGCCTGGCTATACTCCTGGAAGAGCCGCACGTAGTCGCGCGAACGCATAGGTATTGTCTCTCGGTCAAAGTATGGGTGATCCGGATCGTCGCAGGGGCGGTAGAACCGAGGAACACAGAAGCTTGCCACGTTGGGATTGGCGGAGAGGTAGTCTGCAAGTATGGCGTCCCAGGCAGCGCATTTGAAGCCCGGAGGGAACTCTGCGCTGTCCCAGCGAATGATACGAGGAGGATATATTCCGGGAAGAAAACACAGTTGGCGGAGCGAGGGGAAAGCACCGTTTACCAACGAGGTGGACAGCAGATCCAGTAGTCTCGGTGGTGGTGTGAGCGAAATTGAATTGTCGGTGTGGTCCCCAATGTCCAGTAGCACGTTGGAGAAGTTGATTTCAAGGCATTGCAGGCGCGGGAGGTTTGGTATGGAGAATGATGTGATCACGTCGTCGTTATCTTGCGCTGGATAAAGCCATAATCGTTAGTCTATATGCAGTCAAGGAATATATAAAACCCTTACGAGGAAGCTCAATCGAGAGATTCACCAACGTTCCCCTAGCAGCGGCGCAGAGTTCATAGACCCGAGATGTCCGAGTCATCGGCAGCTCATACCATACGTCGTTCGGGAAATCAGCAGTCAGAACGAGGGCGCACAAAGATTTGACGTGGGGAATAAGGGACTTGTGCATTCGCTGATGGCTTATATCGAAGATCCCAACTCTGAGGGCAGTCATTTGACACGGCCTATCGTTTTTGCTGACTTCCAGGGCTGCGGAGTGGCTACTAGTAACTGACGCCCTCTCAAGATCTTCGGGAACAAGTTCAAGACCAACAATGGACACAGTCGGGCAGGCCGTGAGGATGCGCACCATGAAAGCAGGCGGAATATAAGAGAAGCCGCCGAGTTCAAGGTAGCGCAAAGTGCGATTTGCTGCTTGGTTGCGAATGAGCCTCTCGACTGCGGTAGTGTATCGGATTAACGAGCTTTGTTCCAGGTCCCACGCAAACATGTCGGTCGAGGTGATTGTCAGGGACCCGACATTAGAAAGCAGCTCGAACAGCGCAGCCAAACGGCGAGATATTGGCTCCCATTGCCAGATGCCGATCGCGCCGGTGGTCAGGACAAACGAGACAACATAGCGGGCAAGGTGCGGGAATGCTTGCAGATGTGTTGCAACGTCACCTTGGCGAGAGAAATCGGCTGCTGCTGGGGTGTTGTAGTCGATGACTTCTGTGTATTCGATGGTAACGTGGCGCCAAAGTTGGCGCTGGGAGGGATATCGAAACACATTGGCGACAAGACTACAGGATTTGAGAGTGTCTGCATGCTCGATATTGTTGACGACGATTTCTATGAGCTCGGGGGCGAGGGAAGATACCATGGAGCTGGAAACGGATTGGTTATTGCAATGGTGGTGGTCAAGGCTCAAGCGCTCAAGACGGTTGATCGACATCATTACTCTAATACTCTTGCCTTTTACCGCCACCATTGACTCCGCCCTCTCGCTACTTATGGCCCCGGAAACACCGCCCATCTCTGCGTGTTCTTCAACCGTTGTCGTCCAATGATCTTGACGGAGAACGTAGGAGAGATTTATGGGTATTGGCAGTCGAATGAAATGCAATGAAGGTATGTGGTCCACGCGGTTCCTCTCATATCGTCTCACCCTTGCCGCCCCAGTCTTCAAACTTCACACACTGTCTCCTCCTCCCGATCTCGCGCCTTTCCGCGTCACAATGCTCAAGCGTCAAGCTTTCCCATATAACCACTCTTTCCATCGTCAACCTGTCCACTCTCGCGCCACCGACATACGCTGCTGTGTTTGGACCCATATTATCCTCTGAAGCCGCTATACTGTGTCTGGCTTCCCGGATTACTTCGCACTACTCGGTGTTTCGATTGAAGATTCGCCATCCCAATCGTCATCGCCCACTTTCTTCTCGCTTGGGGCCTGCGTGCCACCCATACCAGCGCCTCTTCGTCCTTTATTCCTCCCCCGAGGTTGCTCTTATTGGCCGCCAAGGTCTCTGATGACCAGCATGCATTCATCCTTCCTCGAGCGCGGAGTCACGTCACACCGGCGACCCACCCAAGATTTTCCATCTCGCCATCCCATTAGAATGCCGCTCTGTCGACTTGATCTACATGTGGAATTGACTCCCCTTCCCTCAAAACTTGCATTGCAACCTGCGTTTTGGAAGGATGAAAGGACATTGGGCCTATTTTTGTGCCGATGACTTAACTGTCAGATGGAACTCGTGCTCGTCGCTACAACTCTACACGGCCAGTTGGGTTGTATCCAGCTCTTCACACGACGTTTCTCGGGCTCTATAGGGTGTTCTTGAAGGCATTGCGATGGACTTGGGGTGGCCGATTGTTCTTCGCAAACGACAAAAGGCGACTGGGTCTTCAAAGTCTCGCTCGCATTCTCCGATGGTGCTGCACTCCGAACAGCATTACCATCCAGTACTATACTGTCCTCCCCAACTCCTACGCCATCTTATCCCTCCGTTTCCGACCCAAGTATCTTGTCGTCATCGTTAATCGAAGGACAAGTGGCAAGACTGCTTGAACGAGAGAACACTCTTCAGCAGATGCTATCCATCATCTCTGCGGAAGTGGACTACGTTCACTTCTTTCGTGCCCATGCTGGCCCCCTCATCGTTGTCTGCAACGAGAGACTTGTGTTTCCTTGCTGCTTATATCAATCATCGATCCGTGCTACTTCGTGTAGTTCTCTCTCGACCTGCTTCTGCGCTTAAAGATGGCCTTGTTTTGTCTTACGAATGATACCGTACCAGTATTCCTCGTTTCCTTTATACCTACGGCGTCATATATTCCACTACACCTTCGACTCTAAGTTGTTGACACGTCCATCTTCGATTTGCCTTGTTCTCACCGTGTTGTCAGGCAACCCTGTTTATTCACAGATTCTCCATCTATTTGTGTCTGTAGTCATCGTAGTATAGTATTCTGTCTAATACGACTCGTATTCATACATTACTAGTAGCACTTTTGACTTGAGCAAACGCAGGCTGAATGAGACGATCTATGTGACTGGAGAGGTTTCGTATTGTGTATCGGAGACAGATAAGGACAGTGAACTCAAAAGAACTCCACCTCGTCATCCCTCCACTCCGTAGTACTGGTCAAATCCAAGTAATCAACGACGGTGAAACCCAGGGTAGTTGCAGCGGGAAGGACCGCATGCATGGCCTGCGCATACCCCGCGAGGAGCCGCCTCTGAAGGTTCATCATGATGTCCCGCCGGGACGTGTCGAATTCCCCGTGAGGGGGCCTGCTGCGGAAACGGCCCGGATGGCAAAAGCGCGGAACGCAGTAGCATGTGGCAAGGCTGCGAGTGAGGTAGGTGGCGAGGAATTGGTCCAGGGGTTTGCACAGGTGGGGCAGCCGTGGGTTCGGGTGGAAAGCCCAGTCCTCGAGATATAGCTCGGGCCGGAGACAGAGTCTGGAAAGGCGGGGGGAGTGCGTCGTCTAGTGTAAAGATGGACAGCAGGTCCATCAGGCGCGGCGGGGGAATACAAGAATGATCCCATCGGTAAACGGTTTTGGGTACGTTTTCGAAGTTGATTTGAAGGCAGCGCAGGTGTGGGAGGCGGGGTAACCGGAATGCGGTCAGCGCAATGTCTTGTTGGCTGTCTTCGGAACAATGTTAGATTCAAAGTTAGCGCGATTGTGGTGCGACATACCTGCCTCGGGCAATTGTATGGCCAGAGATTCCAGGGTATCGCTGACGGCCGAGCAGAGATCGAAGACCTTGGATATGATAATTGGTTGGCCCAAGCCGAAGCCCGAGGTAGTAAGGACAAGAGTACGTAGTGTTGTGGTATATGGGAGGATGAAATTGTACACTTCTAGATCGCTGATGTCGAATAACCCAATTCGAAGTCGTGTCAAAGTACCAACGAGCGGCGAAGCGATTTCACCACCAGCCAGTTGCTCGCCTTGCTTTGCGAGTCGGATGTCAAAGACGGAGAGGGTAGGGCAAGCCGTCAGAATCGTATGCATGGAGGCGCGTGGAAGTTCCAGGAACCCGCTCAATGTGAGCTGGCGCAGTCTTTGGCTTGCTGCTTGGCGGAGAATAAACGCTTCGAGTGCGACCAGGAATGACTGGCGCTCTGCGTCCCAGTCGTCGGGGATAATTTTGGGGACGTCTTTCATGCAAAGGACCGCAACGTTGGGAAGGAGCGCAAATAATCGCTCCAACGAGCGAATCCCAATATCCTCCCAGATTCCCTTCGCATAGGTAACGTGGAACTCGAACGAGGTAACATAGCAGCCCAGGTGAGGAAACGCGGCAAGGTGAGCTACAGTTTCACGCGAAAAAGGTCTGTCCGCAGTGATAAATTCGAGTGCAACGTGCTGCCAGAGTTTGCGTTGGGCTGGGCGGCGGAACGCATCTGCAACGAGACTGCACGTTTTGAGTGTGTCGATCTTATCGATGTGGGCGACAATAGTGTCTATCAGTTCTTGCGCAAGAAAGGTGGCCATGGAGTCAAGAGGCGTAAGCTGTAGCGTGAAGTTCAGAGCTAGAAGTTGTGGTCAAGGGCAAGCTGGTTGATCGTACATGGTGCATCAATCGCGCTTGTCTTCGACCACCACCATTGATTTCAGACCACCTCAAACGTCGTCTTCAGCAATGGCCCTGCTACCGCGGACTGTTGGCGCGTGGTCCAGGAGCAACAAGAAAACGATGGAGACATGGTTTGTGGGACACAAAACTTGAGCTGGTGCGTGAATGCGGATTTGAAGCTTTCTTCCTCCTTATACCGTCTCATAGTGCCACTCTCTCCTCATCTACTATCACGATGGCATCGTCTCTCAGTGGTCAGCGTCGCTCTTCCACTATATGCCTTCTCCCTTGGTCCTGCCCCTGCAACGCCAACGACCCAACGATACCACCTGTGAATCGCCCCAGAGAACTTTGAAAATGGAGCTTCCAGACAATTCCATGGCTATCTGTGTCGAAGAAACTCGAGGTTTTTGTTGAAGGGGCCAACTTGGAAACCAGACATGGGTATGTATATTCTCCCCCGACCAACCTTGCGTCCGGTCTCTGAACCCTCGCAGTCAACCCGTTTCTCAACGAGTCTAAACCTTGTAGCCTTTCGGCTCCGCGAGGAAACCGTCGCGGAAACCATATGCTCGACTCGGTGGTGGGCATGATTGGTGGTGGAAAGTCAATGGTGCGTTCGTGTCACTGCGAAGTCTCGACCTTACCGCTGATCTTATGACTCTAGAGCTTTCTGCAACTTCGCTACCATGAATTTCGCCGGACAACGTCGTTCTTGACCGAGATTCGCGACCCAATTCTACTCCCTGGAGATCTTGGACAAATTCAATATCCATGCTGCCATTATACCGCTATGTCACCTCTTAAACCATTCCTCCCACTTCTCTCAGTCCACCATGCCATGCCAGACCCCCACCCCTACCCCAATGCGCGTCGCACCATTCTCTTCATCTCCCAATTTGGAAGTCACGTGCACCATCCTCTCGCTGACCGAATCGCCTTCGAGCCACGGCAACGACTACGTCTTCGCGCCTTTCCATTGCAAGGGAACGACTCAAATACAACTAGTGCATGACACTCCACCCCCAATTCCCATCATCGGCGCATCCGAAACGATTTTTACAATCGCCTCCATCTTATGGTCATTTCAGGCGGTTCGGGGGATATCGCACGGCTGGTCTTCATGGCCTCAAACCTAAAACGAAACATGCCTCGTCCAGCTTCATCCGCTCGAGCACCCGCGACAAACCTTTATCTCTCTCCTCGCTGCCTTGGTGGCCCCCAGACGATTTTTCCATTTACCGCCCCCTTGTGATATCGTTCTGTCGGCTTCATCAGCATGTTCATTCGACTCAACTCTTCACAAAACATTTGCTCTAGCCCGCGTTGCGAACGTCGTTGGGCTAATTTGGATTCGACCTCAGATTGACCCCAGACGTTTCGCGGTCAAGTCGACAAAGCTGATGGGCCTGCTGCGTCGCATACTCTGGTACCCGTCCTCTATATCTCGCGTTTGCGGCCATACTTTACATTTGCGACGCGATGCTGGTCCCGTTCATCGTGTAATGAACGACAACGTCGATAAGGCCACTGAAATCTGGGCGCTACTCTAAGGCCGGCTTAACGATCTTTCTCTTGGATCCTCGACCTTCTCTTCCGTTCTACCTTTCCTCCTCATACCAACCTCATCTCGAATTACCCGAAATCAGTTGCTCGCTCTACCTATCATGATTAACTTGAATTCGTGCATCCTTTTCGTTATCTTTCTCGTTCCCAGGTCCCTTTCACGTACCATTCTGGACACAAAAGTACTTCAAATTACGGCTTGTCTCGTAGTGTCGGTGCACGGTTATCCTAGGCCTTATAAACATTCGATATATTATCTTGTGCTACTCAGGCTCGCTCGTTATTCCACATCCGCAGGAGAATCAGCAGATAATAATTTATCAATTGGACACTAGATTGAAGCCGCCAACATGACTGTAGTACAGTATAATTACTGGGAAAAGTTTTGTTTATCGAAGGTAGTCGTTGGTGACTCAAAAAAACTCCACCTCGTGCTCTCTCCACTCTATGCCACCAGACGCGAAGCAATCAACAACTTGAAACCCCAGGGAGGTTGCCTCCGGGAGAGCAGCGGACATGGTCAGCGAATATGCCGCCAGAAGCTGCTTGTGGAGACGGAGGTCCCCGGCTTCGGGCTTGTTGAGGTCGGGCAGCTGGCGACGGTCGTGAAAGAAGCGAGGGAGGAAGTAGCATGTGACGCTGGGAATACTACGAGAAAGGTATTTCATGAGGATTCCGTCCAAGCCCGCGCACACCCAACGATGCTCAGGCTCCGGACTTGGGTGAAAAACGGTCCCGTCCTCGTAAGGGTGGTCTGCGCGCATGTCGGGACGGAGACACAGTTTGGAGAGGGAAGGCACCATGGTGTCTGCCCCTAGTGTGAAGAGGAAGTCCAACAGCCGGGGCGGGGGCGAGTACGACGGCATCCATAAGCGATCGGTATCGGGCAGAGGTTCAAAGTCGATTTGGAGGTAGTGCAGATGGGGGAGGTCGGGTAGCAGGAATCCGGTCATGACACGGTCCTCTTTGCTGTCTTCAAAACAAGGTCAGTTTAAGAAACCCCTCAGAGCTTCTCGATGCTCACAGACGCGGGGAAATTGTATCGCCAAATATTTCAGTGTTTCTTTAGCGGCCAAGCAGATATCGGGAACCTTCGATGGTATTGTTTGTTGCTGGTACCAGCGGCCACCAGAGGTAGTAAGGACGAGGGTATGCAACGCTTTGGTATGGGTGAGAATCAAATTGTAGAGTGGTGGATCGTTAATGTCGAATATTCCGATTTTAAGTCGGGTTATGTTGACTGCCGTCGAATCTGGAGGGGTTTCAGCTGGTTCCTGAGAGTTGACTTCTTCCATTGCGCGTCCGATATCGACAAAGCTTATACTCGGGCAAGCAGTCAGGGCTCCCCGCAAGAACGCCCGAGAAAGGTTCGGAAACTTGCTCAATCCGAGCCCGCGCAGTTTGCGGCTCGCTACTTGTTTGCGAATGAAGCCTTCGACCACGGCCAAGAACAACTCGCGCTCTGCGCCCCACGAGTAAGAATCGAAACCGCGAGGAACATCGGTCGAAACTCGAAGGAGCGCGACATTGGGGAGCAGCGGAAACAATGACTTCAGCGCATGGGTCCCGGCGGAGACAGCTGCCCAGCTCATGTTCTGGAAGGTCATGCTTATGGTTAACGAAGCAACATAGCGCGCCAGGTGGCGAAATTCGGCCAGGTGAGCAAGTATAGCATGCGCGCTGTCGCACTCTCCGTTTTCGAACTTGAGCACGACACGCCGCCAGAGCCCGCGTTGAGAGGGCTGGCGAAAGGCCTCCGCGACCAGACTGCATGTCTTCAGCGTGTCAGTGCCGTCGATATGAGTGACAATTGTGTCTATCATTTCTTGAGGGAACGAGGGGATCATGTGGTCGATCCGCGCAAGCAGCAGCGTTGGATTGGGGACTGGTAAATCGTGGTCAAGTGCAAGCCTGTTGATCGCGATGCCCATCAGTCCCTCTTGTCTCTTACCACCACCGCCGATTCTCGTGCATCACGAATGGCTACAAACGCCGTCTCCCGAGATAGGCAGGGCGCCATAGGCCGCTGGAGAAGGGCCATTGTCGATTAGGAGGCACCAGAACGCGAGTAGGAGAGGGTTTGTGGGCCATAAAAACTCGAGCGAAAGCTGCCTATGTGCGTGTATTCTTATCTGCGGCTTGATTTTCTCATTCATAATCTCCTATAGTATCCCCCGCTAACCTGTCCTCGCAACACCTCGACCTCGAAACAAGCTGCACCTGTTCTCACGACTGTCCCTGCACCATCCAGCGCCGGCCCCAGCAGTCGCGAATCACTTGTCTACGGAGGGAGCCTCAGGCGCTTGGGAACGCTCTTCGTGTCTGGACATCTCCAGGTTATTGTGAAATGTGGCGCTAGAGCGACATACCAGGCAAGGATCCTCCGTGACTTTGCGCCTCGATTCTGACCGTCCAGCAGCAAACAGCAGTTGTCTCGACTGTCTGGTCATCCGACTCTTCAATGCAGTCGCTTCGAAAATCACATACTCAACTCGTGCTGGTCTCGAGTGGATGATAGCTGTCCTGGGGTAACGGTATGCTCATGCCATACAACTTCCAGACTCTGTTGTTAACGCCTTTCACCCATAGTGCTCTTACCCGCTTCCAACACCATCGCATTTCCTTAACATGGTCGTCGTTTTTACCAAGAACGACAACGCCATCCTGAATCCCCGGCTGTCGCCCACATAACGAATCCCTGCGCCGCCATCGTGCCGTCTTACTCTATATTTCCAACATACACACATGCCGCTTGGAGTGGCATCGTCGATTTGCATCCTCTGCATCCCACAATTACGCGCCTTGGCTGTTTCTCGCTCGATTTGGGAGTCACGTGCCATTCGGCGTCAGCGAAACTCACTCACTCACTCTACCTCGCGCCACAGCAAATCTACCGCCATTTCGACCCGCCATTGCGATGAAGACGCTCTATATCCATAACCTTATATCATGTTTTCTCCCCATTCTGTGCTCTCGACTCATCGTAGCGATTTGGGAACCGACGTCCATCCCGCAGCCTGTGCGTCAATTTGGGATATATTCCATTGGCTAGTGTGGTCAGTCGTCGCGGATCCCTCTCCACTAGGACCAGACACATGTTTATAACGTGCTGTTGTCCAACATGGCCGGCTTTTCACGAACGAGTCCGACCAGAGGTGTTTTACGGGCAAAAAGCTCGAGCTGGAACTTGCACACCCGTGTACGATGCTTAAATGTTGTTTCATTTCTTCATTCTAATCTCTCACAGTCATCTTCTTCGATCTCCATCCAAGCCGTCCCATGTCAAAACTATCCCAACCGCTGTTACCGACTTTCATTGCCACCCACAATCGGCACGAGTCTCCAAGCGCAACTTTTCAATTCTCTATGCCTGTCCCCTCAACCTGAGCTTTTCGCGAAGCAACAGATCGGATCTCACGAAGCAGGTGCTTTTCCCTTAACTTTACATGAGTAGTCTTTAACGCGATCTTCAGCCCCCGTCAAGGATTGCTCGTCATTTGGCCGTTCTCACACCAGAGTCCCTCCTGTCGAATGGAGAGAGCGATTCACAAGTACTGAGGCTGTATGTGGGTGTCAAGACCGGTCTCGATTTGTCTTTCGTGATGACATTATACTCAGCTTACCAGAAGCTGTTCTGTCGTCGCTCGAATAAAGGCTCTGAGCTCGATTGGCGGTGCGTCTGTGCTGTCAGGTCCCGCTTCTAACACTGATACCGTATAGCTTAGTTCTCCCAATGTAAACTTCGTTCCTCGGACAGCACATGATTTCTGGCGTTATTGTCCTCGAAGAATCCAATTTCCGCACTTCGAATATCCGACATCGCTTGTGCTCCGCCTCCTCCTCGTCCCACATTCATGTGCGGTTATTTTCCCCGACATTTCCTCCTTCAAAACCGCCCCCCTTGAAAATCCTCTTTCGTGGTGGCGGCAACATCTTTTGATTGTACTCGATCGCTCCCTCTACTCCTCTCGCCAAGGTCTTTGCAGACGAGCTCCACCCGATGATCTTTTCGTCGGTTTGCGTCCGCCAAACACCTGGAATCTCCAGACATTTTCCCCGCCACCACGAGAAATCTCGTCCATTCATCTCTTCCTCCCCCGCAATCACCGTCTTTCCGAGAATGGTGTCGAGTTGCCATTCTTCGTTTGTCTTCGTTGGGGAAGTGGGAGCTTGATACATACTCACCGCCGTCGACATCATGCAATTCTGGTGTTACTGGCTTGCGCCAAAGCTTGCGTTTTCCACCCGTCTGTCGTCGTTCTTGACTTGACGAACGCTCTCGACACGGAAGCATATTTCAGCGTTAGCAGTCCCCTGTCGAAACTGTTCGAACGGCTTTTCCAAACTTTCCATGCCACCCACAACCGGCACGAGCCTCCGATGGATCACATTATACATGGCTCTATTTTCCACAAAACCAAACTTTCTCGAATCCATGCGCTAAAACTAATCAATGAGGTGCTTATTTCCTGACTCGACAAGACTGCTCCCTAACGATTTTCAGCCCCCCAAGGATTGCTCGTCATTTGGCCGTTCTGACACCAGAATCCGTCATGTCGGTTTGCGTCCTCCAGCGCCTGGGGTCCTCAGACACCTTCTCCACAACCACGAGATATATCTCTTCATCTCCGACCCACACCTGCTTTCCGAGAATGACATTATACGGTTGCAGTTCTTCATCTACCTTCTCCGACAAATGCGACTCGACATCTGCTTTTCGTCGAGGGAAAGGAAGGCCATCGGACTTGCGGCAATTCCCTCCGCTTTTTCAGCCACCCGTCGTCGTTCTCTGGAGGAGCTGGATCTGGTAAAGCTTAAGACCATGGTCTTAACGGAGAGCTGAAAGGAAGAACCAGAAAACACGATCTCAAAGCTTGAAGAAGACACATTAATAGGGAAGCGTATTTCATTGTCTTTCCAAGGCATGTCGACATTATCCTCTCAGAAACCCACTGAGCAGTCGCTCTCCCTTCCGACATACCGCTACTCTTTTACTGCTCGTTTGCATACCTGGACATTTTCTTCCTCTCGTCCTTCGCCCTGTTCTCATTCGCATCCGTTCTATGTACTCATTTCTTTTCTCTTTCGTATTCTCACTACATACGATGTACCTGCTCTCGGTTGCTACCTATGTATGGCCTCTCAGATACCTTTTTTGCTACTGTATCTTCCCATATACGGCCCTTCTCTCCGCTTCATGGTCACCACCTCTTTATACGGACAAAATAGCTGCACATCTTTTCAGGTTCCAACGGGAGGTACAAACGGAGTACACAACAGACTAACGTCAGGGATAGTGAATACATACAGTTCGGGTGCTTAACAACACAGTACAAAAGAGAGAGACACAAAGCAAAACAAGCTGCAATGTCCATGCTTAGTCCTCCGCCAAATAGCGGTACTCGAACCGGAAGTCGCTCTTTTTGCGCTGGCACCACGAGCCCTCCCAGTCGAAGTAGACATACACGCCCTGCTCGTACTCCTCCGTGATCGCCTGCGGCTCCGAGTGCCGCTGGAACCACGTCAGGTACTTGACGTGGAAGCGCCACGACTGCCGCTTGAGCTCTTCGGCGGCGAGGTATCTGCCAATCGCGGTCAGCATGCAAGATGGGGAATGAAGAAGAGAACGAACTTGGGGTAAGACACGGGCACGAAGTAGAAGATATAAAAGAGTGTTTCGACATCGATTTGCGAATACAGCGCCTTGTTGTTGAGCAGGGCAAGTGGGGCTTGCGGGTAATACGATGCGGTCGGAAACGGATTGCGCGGCATATAGTACTTCGGTCTCGAAACATATTTAGTCACGATAAATACCAGAAAAGCTCACTTACTTGAGGGTATCTTGCGGTTGTGGGATACTCGAAAGACCGTTTGTGAGGTACTTGTTCAGCGTCTCGACATCTTGCATCCGCTGACTCGCTACAATGTCACTGTTAGTATGAAAGATGGATGGACAATATATGCCGAACCTCGTTGCTTGGCCCTCTCAAACGGTAATACCAAATCGGCCAAACCTGGCGGGAACGAGCTGGGCTGCACGGTCGACGTCGTTATCGGCGTTGTCGCAACTGGAGGTGCCGCTGCCGTATGACCATTCGCCTGCGCTTGTGGTTGTCGATGCGAGCCAATTGCAGAAGATGTCGATGTTGATGGAGCGATTGCGGGAGGGTCGCTCGCAACAGCCACGCCCGGCGGGAACCGCGGAACATCAACTTCTGAATCTTCGCTTGGTTGTCGGGATATTGGCTCCACAAGCGGTTCCTGCAGTCGTTTGTCAGGTAATGGGGCGGATACTTGGGAGCCGAACAAACCGAAGCACTCGGAGGAGACGGTATTCGAGGTAACGAAGCAATAGAGCCTTGTAAATCATTAGAAAAACGAATGTGGATATCAAATAGAATGACCTTTGGGCGAAGAAATCGCGACTGGTGCCGCAACTGCCTCCGACAACGCTGGTGACTCATAGAACGAGCTTTCGCGTTCCCCTTGCGAGACCGATACCGAAGCATAAGACGACATTGGGCTTGCGGCAGATGGATGTGTCATGCTTGGCGAAGAAGGCGTATCCAAGGTCGAAGCTGTCGGTAATGGTGGCGGCACCGTTGTTGATGTCGTCGCTTTCGCTTGTACAGGAGCGGGTACCGGCTTTGGTGGCGCTGGTGGCGCTGGAGGTTGATGCTGTACTGCAGCAGAGTAACCCCGTATCGGTAACGGTGCCGCTGCCGGTTTTGGTGCAGATTTGAGTAAACTCGACATGGGTTGCACGTTGAAAGCTGCTGGTGGTTTGGCTGGAGGGGAGTCAGTGCGAGGCAGTGTAGCCACACAACAAACGTGCCGTCAGATTGTTCTGTGGGTGAATGTCAGCATGGTATATAAAGCCAGACGGCGACGCACTTCTTGGTGTAACGGCAGACTTCTTGAGGATTGGGCTTTCGGCTCGTTTGCTGTTATCCTCTGACGCCTTCTTCGCTACAGGTCGAGTCGACGGCGCTGGTTCTTGAAAAGGTGTCAACACCTGTCCATTACCAAAAGACTGGGGCCTTACCATCGACAAACTCGGACTCGTCATCGCTATCATGCGTTGTGTCCTCTAGAGCGCCTCGGAACTTCTCTTCCTCCTCGTCAAGATTGAGTTCGTCATAAATGCCCTCGTATTCGGTAAAGTCTTCCTCCTGCAGCGAGTCATTAAAGAAGAGGACTAAGAAACACAGCAAACACACCATGTTCGTCTCAACAAAGTAATGCACGTCCTCCTTCAGCGCCATAACCTGTTCTGGGTCCAGAGTGCCGTTATTCAGCATACGCAGGACGATTTCAAGTCGACTAATGTGCCACTTTCGTCGTCCATTGAGGTGATCAAGGTCGTCTAGTCGTGTCGCAGTAGCCGAGCCCGACTTCGCTTTCTTCTTCTGCGCGCCTAACAGGTTTTCGACCTCCGCCTCAGCTGCCTCGACCTGCATCTGGAGCTTCTCCAATTGCGTGTCCAGCCACGAAACTGCCTCGATCATCTCCTGCTCCTTCGGGTCGAGCTTGACCGCCTCCCCGAGCGCGACATTCGAGAAGGCCTTCTTCTTCACCTCCTTCTCGCAGGCCTTGAATTTCTCCATTTGCTGGCCACGACAAAATAAGCAAAACGCCCCCAGGGAAGAGCCTATGTCGCGCACCGTTTCTATCAGCCGCCGGTTGTCGAGCAGCTGCGTCTTGTCCTTGATGTCGCTGCTCGCTACCCACGCGCGAATCTGGTCCCGTAGTCGCTGCAGTTTCTTGATTTGGATCTTCAGCGCTGCCTCCAGCTTCTCTTTCTGCCCATCCTCGTCAGCCAAAGGACCCCAGGCACAACACGGTAGCGCACCTGAGCAGCGTTATTGGATGCTTGCATCTTGTCGTATGTGGTCTCAAAGACCTCGACACCTTCGGCGACTTTCTTCAGGGCCTGGTCGATTTCGGCTGCAAAGAAGCTGAGAGAGGGAGGCGAAGGTGGGCTCTGGTCGTACTTTGTAGCTTTCTGGCCGCCATGGTGCGCGACGAGTCGGGCGTTGGGCGGACGACGCGGGAAAGGTGTAGTGTCACGTGTCACATATGTCACACACACATTCCTTCTCCAAAGTTCCGCATCCTGAACGACGTCCTTCAGCGGCGAATCAATCGTTTCTCAATTTGAATCGCCGCATCTCCAGCTGTCTTATGCAAATTGGCCTTGCGCGCTCACCTGCGCTCAACTCATCAAACGACGTCTATAAGCGGATTTTCGTGGGCAGTGAGTCGTCGATAATGATATTTCATGGCTATCGCTACATTCTCGCAAGGGTATATGAGCACACAGTGCCACCGATAGGCCAGTGGCCCGGGTATATATTGGGACTACTAAACGCGCCGGCGGGAGTAGAGCCATGATCTAGAGAGCGCGCCGATATCAGGTCAGCACCTAGTACGGTTCCAACAACAAGCAACATACCGGATAATTCAGGTTGAGGCTGCCGGAGAAGTTGAATAGCATATTGGTCAGTGCTGTTGGCCAATGAGACATTTCCGTGGATAGCAACAACTCAGCGAACCGCTCTCAAGCCACGACACACAGTGCACGAACGTCGTTAGGAATACCGCTGCCGATCTGCTCTGTATCGACAGGATGTGCTGGGGACTCTTCGCCGAAGGAGATTTCGGTGGAGTCAAAAGAGGTAGAGAGAAAATCGCTAGAGATAAGGCCGATCTCGTTGAAGGCGTCCATGAGGTGGAAGGAGAGTGATTTGGCGGTGCCAGAGATATGAGTGGGTTGGAATGGTGAGCTTACGGGTCCACCGCAGTGAGCATTTTATATATCAAGAGAACAATGCCAATCAGACTGGTAGTGCCATTGTGATGTGGACAATGCGGAACCGACAACACATTGTTCAGGTGTTTGCCACTATACATCGAAGCCGATCACAACTTGGTCGACCATTGTCTCAAAGTTGTGGTCCTAACGATATGCGTTTCACTGCAAGTGCGTAGAAATTCATTCTAATCGCAGCACAACAGATCCGATAGTCACCTTCCTTGTGTTTCGCGAACAGCTCTCGAGGTCACCATTCTTCTTGCCACTTGCGCAATCGCACCCATCAAGTCAAGTCTTAAGCTGTATAGCTAACAAGACCGTTAATCTGTTGGCGCTCGTCGTCGGATACTTACTCTTTGGATGGTATAGGAACTTAAGCTTGTATCACCAAGTTTCGGGAAGATGCTTTCCAAGGTTTTCAAGAGAGACGCTAGCCCAGTACACCAGGGGCAATGCTAGCGTCAGTTGGCTAATGGCAGACCTAGCGGCAGTTGGGCAAAGACAAAGGTTTCTTTGTTTTTAACAAAGCAAAAAAATTGCCTTGCAAACTGCCAACAAACTGCCATATGCTATCTGCCGCTAGCTTTGCCCCTGGTGGTAGGGGCGGTGATACATTCAACTGGGTCTATCTACAAACGAGGTACAGAGCCACGGGCTACAACAATAACTTGGGTATTTGTATCGCGATGCTCGCAGAGCTATTTCGACGATATTAGTGCCTGTGAGATCGCTGTTAGGAAACGGGACCGTTTCGGCCGGCGATGCTTACAGAGGTATGGGATTAACACAAGATTAACGTTCCAGGTGTTCGGGTGAGAGACAGTAGCTCGGTCGGCGGTGGGCCTATTAGAACTTCGTCGTTGATAGAGAGTCGCGAACAATTAACGCTCACTTCTGGCGCAGACACGCTCAGGCGACCACACAATACGCGCCGAGATCGCTGGTACCGGCCCTCTCGAAGTCAAGGGGAATATCGTCGACGTCGACGCTCGTTTCCGCCGGTGCAGAGTAGGATGTGAGTTGGGTGAGGTTTGTGAAAGTGTCCATCGAGATTGGGAATGAGGGCTAGCCCGTTGTAGAGCTGCTCGCAGCGTAAAAGCGATATAGGTTGCGGGATATACCGGAGGGGGGGAGTGAGATAGCCACACATTCGTCGTCTCTTTATAGCTATAATATGACCATTGTCTTCCAAGCGCATTGTTCTCAACTTGAATATACATCCTCCGGACCTGACCCCAAAATGGCTAACAATGGCGCGTCGGGGAGCTAATTAAAGGAACCACTGGCAGTGGCAGTAAGTACCATACGTACTTATGATTTAAGTATCATTCAAGTTATTGATTGACGAGGACACGCGCCGAATGCGACCAGGAGATTCGGGATTGAGTACACGCCATCACCGGGAATAATGAGCAGAGAAATCGAATTATGGGGTATGCGACAGTACACGGATACATCGAGAAGAAAGATCGAATACACGAGATATACAAAAAACAGCCTAGTCACTATCAAAGTGACCAGGTAGAGCGGTCTGAAGACGTCTAAGGAGGTAGTGAAGGAAAGCATATGTGGCACGCACGACCGCCGATGGCGTTGGCAGTACAGATCACTACGTTCGTAGGATAACGAGCTGAAAGGGTGTGAGCGAGGAGTGGAGAACGCAAAAGAGGCTCACGAGTTAAGCGATGACACAAAAGACGCTTGCAGTACCTGCACCCAGCTGCTCGCTGTCGATGGGTGAGGGTTGGTCCGTGCGAGGCGAGTCAGGATTGCAGTCGCTGAGGTCGGTCGACGTCGTGGGGATAGAGCAGAAGTAGATGTTTTCAAAAGAGTCCATGGGGAGTGCGTGGTTGCGAGTGGGCTGTGAGGATGAGGGAGCGGTGGGCGGAGCGAGCGCAAAGGGGAGCAACAGAGATCTGGGAGGCGAAGTAGGTGAGAGAGAGCGATAGGTTGGCGGCTTTAAATACATGGCTTTGACATAGCGCAACAATGGTCGAGGGGATAAGGTCAAGGCATTGGAGGCTAAATGGAGTTGATCGAGCAATGGCTGCCGTGATGCCGCTTTCGTGTGACATATGTGACACATTGTCAGCGTGACTGGTGACGATTGTGTCACAATGCGCAAAATGCCTTTGTGCTCGCCACTCATAATGCCGTCCCTTTGCGGATTCCCTCCCACCTTCTTCCATCTCCCCCCTTGCGCTTCATTCTCCACCTCCGAACGACCGCCATGATTGATCCTACCTATCCACTTTTCCCCGTCTGTGCCTGCTTGGGCCTCGTCTTCGTACTCGTCCCGCTTCCTTGGCATCTTCATGCTTGGAATTCTGGAACGTGTTTCTACATAATGTGGTCATCCCTCGCATGCCTCAACCAACTCGTCAACTCACTGTTGTGGGCGGACGACGTCCTCAATAAGGCACCAGTATGGTGCGATATTTGTATGTCTTTGTGTTCCTGCCCAAAGAACTCAGCTTGACCTTTAACAGCCATTCGTATCACCATGGCCTCTTCCGTCGGCATTCCTGCCGCCTCCCTCTGCATAAATCGTCGCCTCTACCAAATCGCAAGTGTGAAAGCCGTGTCGATTACACCTGCAGAGGTGCGTTCTTTCCGAAAATGTGGTGAATGTCGGACTAATCTTGTTAGAAACGCCGTGCAATTCTCGTCGACACACTCATTTGTGTTCTATTCCCCCTCGTTTATCTTGCCCTTCGTGAGTCACCGACACATACTGAAAACAACATTGCTCATGTATGCCAGAATACATCGTCCAGGGTCACCGTTTCAACCTCTACGAACAAATCGGCTGCTCCCCCGCACTTGTCAACACCATTCCCATGTATTTCATCAACCTTATATGGCCCCCCTTGGTTGGATGCGTCTCCGCATGCTATGGCATCCTCTCTCTTCGCGCCTTCATCCGCCAAAGGGCATCTTTCGCACAATTCCTTTCGCCGTCCGGAGCTTCCGGTCTCACGACATCCCGTTACTTGCGTCTCATGGCCTTGTCAGGCATGGATATTCTATTGACGACCCCCCTCGGAATCGTGGCCATCTATCTGAACCTTACCGCGACCCCCGTTGTGCCTTGGGTATCCCTTGCCGATACTCATTTTATGTTCAGCCGCGTTCTTCAAGTGCCCGCGATCTTTTGGAGGAACGATCCTCTTCTTGCGCGGGCCATTGAATTCACTCGCTGGGTGGCCCCTGCCACTGCCCTCGTATTCTTCGTCTTCTTCGGTTTCGCTGCGGAAGCAAGGAAGAACTACGGTGTCGCATTTGGCGCGATCGTACGATGGTTTTGGCGCTTGCTTGCGTGCTGTGGTATTCAGCGCCCCAGAACAGGGTTATTTGCTGTCCGCAATACCAAGCCTATCGTCAACGCCGCCTTCAAGCCCCAACTTCGTCCTTCCTTCGTTACGAGCCAACCCCCCACCAAACTTCCTCCAATTCGTCACTCTGCTCTTGCGATCTCTCTTCCCCTTCCATTATACAGCACCAGCGGATCCCTCACCGAAGTTACATCCGCGTCACCATCTGCGTCAGTCTTTACCGATTTGACGGACCTCAAGCGCGCTCCTTCATTCGCTTCAACTCGAGCAACGGCAGGGTACATTTATGAAGGCGAAGAGGGACAAGAGAGTGGTCGTCAGTCTCAATCGCGATTCGTGGAACATCTTGGCCAAGTCTATGACCTCGAGAAGGGTGTTCCGGAGGAGGAGCGAGATGAGAACCGTCGGGACGAGCACCCCGACTACCTGCACCAAGCACACGAACACCCCGAAGTCGAGCTTGAGATCGACACCCCATCCTCCATCACATCGTTCCCGACTTCCTCCCCTTCTCCGACTTCGACGGCTTTCGACCCCTCTCCGCCTTGCCTCTTCATCTTGCTTGGGCCTCGAGACCGTATCCCGCAGTTTACCAACCGACAGCTGCTTCATCGATGGTCGAGCCAATCCCGGAGTCGGAGCGGGACAGGGATTCGTGGTCACCTTCTTCTGAGTCCGGAGACGGGCAATCGATTCGAATGGAGCCCGTCCGACCTGCCTCGGCAGGGAGTCCGACCCGGGGGAGAACGCTGATGTAATGGCTTTCGCGAGCAAGGAGCAGACTGAAGATGATGAAGACGACGACCAACTCGAAAAATAACGCGACGCAACGAGCATATCCCGTATTCCGCGCACCAACACACCGCTTCCGAGCCGCCTTCGGGCTCGACGACGAAACTCCACTAGCGATTCTGCTTACACATGCCCTCCTTCACGGCTACCCACGACCCGCGCCGAGCGTGCGCCGCGCCGTCCCCCTTGCACCTTCACTTTCCGCACCTGTCCCTTCTGCGATGACTTGACGGACACCCTACCTTTACGATATGATACTCTTGCTCTACTGTTTTTTGTTCCTTTTCGCTCCCGCCCTGGGCTTACTTACGACCTCATCCACTGTATCAACTAGCTTTCGCTGTAGTACTCCTCTGTTCACGCACACATTACGACCCAATACCAACGTGCTTGTTTTTTGCGAGCGTGTATGTGGAGCAAATCAATGAAGCAATGGATTGGTGTGATTGGGATTGGACTCGATATATATACTGTATATGCAAGGTGTTCCGTAGCAAGCAGTCTTGAAAGTCTAAGATGAAAAACGAATGGGGTTTCTGAGAAAGGAACATGGACAAGAAACGAGGAGGAATATGTATCGAGTCCGAATCATAAGCATCGAAACACATTGACACATGTTGGCCAAAGAGAGGTGCGGAACGCGTTTGACGGTTGTCGGCCCGCTCGCCAGATGTGGAAGCTTGGTCGATTGTGTGATAGTGGGAGTGGCGTGGTCAAGGGAAAGAGGAGGATGTGGGTATGTATGTCCAGGAGAACGAGAAACAAGTTATACAAGGTGTTAGGAAGCGAGAAGCATAAAGGCAAGGAAGGCAATGTCCATTGTCTATCGCAAGAAGAGCAAGTAAAGGGCGAAGGGGCTTTGGGGGAAACGGGATAAGAAACGAAGGGAATATGTATCGTGTGTGCTTCATAAGCAGCGAGCAATATTGACGCCTGTTGGCTGCACGCATCCGTGAGGACCACGATTGTTGGCCCGCTCGCCAAATGCAGAAACGTGGTCGATCGGGTGATACAGCACGACCAAGCGGATGGGTGTAATTGTCGAGGAAAGAGGATGATGCAGGTAAGTAGGTGTCTTTGAAAGCGACTTGTGGTAAGAGTGTGTCGAGTACGGGGAACAAGTTTTCCGAAAGATCGTGGTCGGTCAGGAATCTCAAGGCCGATATCCGATGTTATATAAACCCAGCGAAAGCACTGTATAACGAACATCAATAGTCAAAACCGGAACACGACAGCGACATAATATATAAACGCACAACACCACAGCGGAGCAGAGACCAAATATATCTCGTATCGCATATCTCCCAATTTCTATCACCGGTAAGCGAGAATTCGAGCAGTTTAAAAAACAGTCAACTCACAGGAGAAAACCATTCACGATAACACAACCTGCATCCTTCGGCCATCTTCAATTGCTTGACTGGGCAGGCAACGACGAGGACCAAAAGACATGAATCTCCTTGCGCGGAAAAGTGATAGTGTTGGGATCCCTGAATAGTCGTTTCTCAGTGGAACAAGCGCGATGATGCCTTTCGACCCGCTGCAGCATCGAATTCATGACAAGGCATAAAGTATGCACTAGTTCTTCGTCGCTTTGGTTTCGTATCGTCTGCCTCCGGAGTGAGTACATAATGATATATCTTGGGAACAAGAGAACATACATACCCCCTCTCTCTCTCTCTCGAGTAAGGATACACCTCCGCCCGCTCTGCGCTTCTTCCCGTATTCCAAGCACAACAATTGCAACCAGGGCAGCTTTTGCACAGCCCAATGAAGCCGAGAGTGTGCAAAATCTCGTCGGCCATATAACGAGCGTGATCCTCGCCAAGAGAGGGAGCTTTCCGCGCAAGTGTCCAAGAGAGACAATCCACGAACGATTGGCGCGGGAAATGGCGATCTTGGATACAAAAAAAGGGCGAGATATATCTCGTTGTCAATCATCGCCGTCGATAACATGCTCCATGCCATATCCAATATCGCCATATCCAAGATCATTGGATGGATGCAAGAAAAAGCGTTTCGAGGGAGCTGATGATAGGAATGGGGAGGAGATAAAGTGCGGTAGGGTTGGAGTAGCTCGTGCCCACCAGAGTGGGCAGACGCGAAGACGCAGTGGTTGCCGTAGCTCGAGGTCAATTTCGTCCACAGAAGGATAGTGCACGTGACCTCCAAATTGGGCGATGGGGAGAGAAGCGATAGCTGCGACGCGGATTTCGATTGGGTGGCGGTCGGATATGGCGGAGTTTACCAAGGGAAGTGGGAAGGAGGTTAAAGACGAGACGCAGCCGGTATAATTAGGGTGTAGAGATGGAATTTTGTCGAAGATCGCGAGAGGGAAAGATTCCGTTGCGAGTCTTGCAAAGGACGGCTGTTCTGAGGAAATCGATGGTAGCGACGGCAAGGGCAGCGCTAGAGCAATGGGTTGAGCGGTGAATTCCGTTACTTTACAGCAGCATGAACGCACCAATGAGCGACCAGAGTCATCGTTACCCGACTCACCCCTGCCACCAGCGCAAGGTAAAGATATGGTGTCCGCGGCAAGCTTGTCGCAGAGTCGCAAGGCAAGACAGTTGAGACCCCGCTTGTAACTTTTTTGACTGTGAGGATTCAGAATCGACGCGCAAGATCTGAGTACCCCCAAGTTCGGTTTTCGAGTTGGCCCTCCAACAACGACAGCCACGAGATTCTCCGTCACGGACAGCGACTCGATGGTCCATCCGTAAGCGCCCTGGAACGATTTACAGCCGCTGTCGCTGGCGCTGAACGACATGACCACCTTGAGAAGACCGAGAAGTTATAAGAGCGATGTTGACGTTGACGGCAGAGGTGCAGCCATCGTGGTTATAGGTGAGTACTAGCAGAGAGCGGTGTCATGAGGAGGAGAAAAGCCTCGAATCCAAATCCACGCACATTGCGCCGGAGCGACCTCCAATCTATCTCCCTGTCTCCTTCTTGTTGCTCCCAGCGGTGAACAGTGCCCCTGCACCAATGCTCTCCGCCTACGTTCGAAATCACTGGTGGTGGTCAAAGACAAGCGGGTTGACCAGATCGATAGGGAGAGAGAGATGTCGCGGGTGCTCGAGCGGACTTGTCCACCACAAAGAGCGATTCACGCGGCATGCGGGGGAGGTATGGAGGAGAAGTGTCTCGCTGGCCATGTGTTGAGCGTTTATTCCTCGATAAAGTTTTTTGGCCGACGAAACACAAGTTGATGGGGCCAGGCGAATGGGGTCGTTAGATATAAAAGACTGAGCGGGCCATGTGTCGTTGTCGATTTAGGGCCATGAAGGCCAGCGGTACTGCTCGTCCACGCCAGATCCGATATCCCTCGAACTGACTGAAAAGACCATAGGATGGAGGCGATTGTAAAAATCGTTTCGGATGCGCCGACGATGGGAATTGGGGGTGGCATATTATGCAGCAGCCGTATTTGAGTCGCTCGCTTGCAATGGAAAGCCGCGAAGACGCAGGGCTCGAAGTCGATTCGAGCAAGAGGATGGTGCACGTGACCTCCAAATTGGGAGATGGAGAGAATCGATGGGTGGGACGCGCATTTTGGTAGTGGTGAGGGGGGCCGAGTATGACATGGTAGACCGTGAGAAGTGAGAGGAATTGCTTAAGAGGTGATATAGCCGGTATAATGGCAGCATGGAGATTGAATTTGCCGAAGGGAGAAGAATTGGGTCTCTTGTTCAAGGACGAGGTTGGTCGGCGAAGTTGATGGTAGTAAAGTTGCAGAAAGCTCTAGAGTCATAAGATCAGCGGTAAGGTCGAGACTTCACAGAGACACGAACGCGCCATTGACTTTCCACCACAGTCATACCCCACCAACAACAACCAAGTCAAGAATATGGTTTCCGCGACGAGGTCATTACGAAGTTGAAAGGCCAGAATGTGCAGACTCGTTGATCAACAGGTTAACTGCGAGGGATTAGAGACCGGACGTGCAAGGTTGGTTGTGGAGAATATCATACCCATGGCTCGTTTTCAAGTTGGCTCCTGGAGCAAAAACCTCGACTTTCTTGACACAGATATCCAGTGAATTGTCTGGAAGCTCCATTTGCAGAGTTTTCTGGGGCGCTTCGCAGGTGCTGTCGTTGGCGATGCAACGGCAGGACCAAGGGGGAATACCGTAGAGGAGAGGTGTTGCCCGCTTAGAGGCAAGGCAATAATGATAGTAGATGAGCAGAGAGTGGTGCTGTGGGACGGTATGAGGAGGAAGAGAGCTTCAAATCCGAATTGAATCCACGCACCAGCTCAAGGTTTGTGTCCCACAAACCATGCCCCCATCGTTTTCTTGCTCTCCTAGACCACACGCCAACAGTCCGCGGCAGCAGGGCCAGTGCTGAAGACGACGTTTGAGGTGGTGCGAAATCAATGGTGGTGGTCGAAGACAAGCGCGATTGTCAATGATGTGTCATGTGCAATCAACGAGCTTGCCAGCGCCCTTGATCACAACTTCCAGCTCTGAACTCCACGCTACAGCTTACGCCTCTTGACTCCATGGCCACATTTCTTGCGCAAGAACTCATAGACGCAATTGTCGCCCACCTCGACAAGACCGACACACTCAAGACGTGCTGTCTCGTTGCAGATGCGTTCCGCCGCCCAACCCAACGCAAACTCTGGCGGCACGTTGCGCTCCAATTTGACGATGCGGATCGTGCTCGTCCGCTTGCAACTCTAGCTCACCTTGCCGCGTTTCCTCACCTCGGGCACTACGTTCAATCGTTCGCGTTGAGGATGCCCTTCCTCTGGCAGAACGATATCTGGGAGGACATCTCAAGGACTTGTTCGTTGAAATCACTGTTTCAGCTCCTTCCCAACGTTGCGGTTATTTGGGCTTCCGGGTCAATCCACCTCGCTGGCAAATGGGCCGCGGATCGCAAGTTATTCCTAACGGCAGTCGAAGCGTTTATTCTCCGCCAAGTAGCAAGCCAAAGACTGCGCCAGCTCACCTTGAATAGCTTCCTTGAACTTCCACGCGCGTCCATGCATACGATCCTGACGGCTTGCCCTACCCTCTCCCTCTTTGACATCCGACTCGCAAAGGAGCAACTGGCTGGTGGTGAAATCCGAGTCGCTTCACCTGTTGGTAGTTTGAGTCTACTTCGAGCTGGGTTATTCAACATCACCGATCCAGAAGTGTACAACTGCATCCTCCCGTATACAAAAACACTGCGTATTCTTGTCCTTACCACCTCGGGCTTCGGGAGGGGCCAACAAATCATCCCATCTAACTTTTTCGATCTCTGCTCGGCTGTCAGCGCAACCCTGGAATGTCTGGCCATACAATTGCCCCGGGCATGTACGTCGCACGACTATAGCGCTGCTTTCGAATCTGACAACGTTCTAAAGACAGCATACAAGACGGTGCACTGACCGCTCTCCAACTACCCCGCCTCCCACACTTGCGCTACCTCCAGATCAACTTCGAAAACCTATACGAAGCATATTCAGACGGCCGATGGATCCCTCCTTGTATGCCCCCGCCGCGTCTGATGGACCTGCTGTCTATCTTCACCCTAGACGACGCACTCCCCTCTCTTTCCAAACTCTGTCTCCAACCCGAGCTATATGCCAACTACACCACCGCGTACAGAGAGGACAGGGTCTTCCGCCCGAACCCGCGGCTGCCCCACCTGTGCGAGCCCCTGGACCAATTCCTCGCTGCCTACCTCGCTCGCAGCCCTGCCGCCTGCTATTGCGTTCCGCGCTTCTACCATGAGATTCGTTTCTGGACCGGAAACCACAGGCCCCCTCACCGGGAGTTCGACACGTCCCCGCGGGACATGGACCTCCGGAGGCGGCTCCTCGCGGTGTATGCGCGGGCCATGTATGCCGTCCTGCCCGCCGCAACCACCCTGGGGTTCACCGTCGTTGATTACTTTGATTTGACCGGTACGGAGTGGAGGGAGGACGAGGTGGAGTTCTTTTGAGTCCACTGTCATTATCTGTCTTTTTGGTTACATAGATTGTCTCCTTGAGCCTGCGTTTTCTCAAGTCAAAAGGGTTACACGGTTGCACTGTTATACTAGTAAGGTATTAGTATGAGCCGGATTAGACAGAATACTGTAAAACAATATACTAGGAGAACGCGGTAAATCGAAGATGGAAATGTCAACACCTTGCAGGTGTTAAATGGTAGAAGGCATTAGAATATATGACGCCGCAGGTATAAAGAAAACAATGATCATTCCTAAAGCAGAACAAGACCATCTTTCCGCTCAGAAGCTGGTAGCGAGGTTCGAGTTCGTCTAGTCGCAGCGCAATCGGAGACCTGGCGAGCAACTTTTAACAACCGGGTAGCGCATCGTCCTCTCCCAACGAACAGTTCTAGTCAACCAGCCCTAGTCCATCGCAATGCCTTCCAAAACATTCGCCAGAGCAGGTCAAAGTCGTTGTACACCAACAGATACACCCGAGCCGGCGCGGTAGAGTGGCAGCGACGGGTATGAGGTCTATTTGTCAATTATTGCCTCGGGTCCAAAATATCCCAAAGGTCCACCGTTCCGTTCACAGCGCCGGTTGAAATAGATATTTTATATAACTAGAAGTCGGTTGCACTTGAAAATAGAGTCGATAGTGCAACATTCCAACGGGGTTGCGAGATGGAAAATCGCCTGGGGGGAGGCGTGACTTCCACGTGACTACACCAAGTGGGTAGTCGGTTCAGCAGAAACCATATTATTGCGAGGGAGTCGTGGACATGGTACAATGAAGAATTTCGAGCTTGCAGCCTTGGCTGAAGCGGAGTGTTATGAGAGGCTAAGCTGACGAATGCTCATAACGAACACTCCGCTCGAAGACTAGAGGAGGATCAGACTCAGTTGCGCGCGGGCTTGAAGGCCGGTTAACAGAGAGGGGGAGGGATAGAGGTGGCACGGTATAATTTCTGCTCCGAGTGACCCAAAGAGTGGGCGACGATGACGAGGGCAAATCGAAACATGGTGTAAGGCAAGCCAACCACGGTGTAACGACTTCAGTGCTGCAGCGGTTGCCACGGGTCACACCAGGAGCAGCATATACTCCATGGACAGGTTGGCGAGCGGAAGACGACAGCGAGATGCAAAAATTGCCTTGTCTGGATATGACATGACTTCATTGAAGGGAATGCGGCGAAAGGCATATATTGCTAGAGCAAACTCGTCAAGCACGAGGGCGGTAGAAGAAGAAGTACAAAGGGTGCTGGACAGAAGGGCGAGGACTTAGTCATGGTAGCATGACTATAGATATTGTGCTGTAGTCGTTGAAAAAAGGGAGGGTTGCCGACAACGAGTCAAGTCTCGCTCGGAAATAGTGATAATAAGGAAGGAGCTCGGTCGATGGGGTCTATGATACCAGAAGATGATGTCATGGCCAAAACTTGTCTTCGCTCCTTGCGACGGAAGGTGTCGTGTCCAGTGGGCTACGTGCTGCGGGAAAGAAGAGCGAGACGTAGTCGTAAGTGTATGGCATGAGGCCGGGGGGGTTATGAGCCGGATAACGAAGGAGAGGCTTTCGTCGCTTGCCATAAGTTTGAGGATCTCGTCGAAACGAGCAAAGGTGAAGACTATGCGTATGTAGGGCAGGGTGGATCATACACACTAGAAGAGCGAGCGTAAGACGCCGATGAAGAAGGAGACAAGCCAAAGACACGCACGCGACAAGGTTTGGCTCCTCATCCGGACCTCCCAGCTTGAAGTGTCTAAAACCTCCTCCAAATCGTTGCATACGCGTCTTCGAATGGTCTTCGCCACATTGTTCCCGGAAGTACTGATGTTGCTGTGGCCATATGGGCAGGCGAAATCAAGGCCATGGCGGTCGTGGTGGTGGTAAAAGTCAGAGAGTGATGATGACTTTCACTGATCGGCGCTGCTACTGCTTGACGGAGACCACCACCAATCCAAACTGCCACAACCCATCTTTCTTCTCGCCGTCCCACTCTATGGTACCTCCTCTGCCCCCCGAACTCATAGCCTTGATCATCGACAACCTCCACACCGTTAGGACGCTCAACAGCTGCAGCCTCGTCGCGAATGTGTTTCGCCAACCCGCTCAGCGCAAACTGTATCGCCACGTTCAGATCGAGTACATAAATGGAGCCTTTGACTGCTCCTACGAAGAGGACCTCGTAACCCATCTACTTGCATACCCTCACCTCACGCGCTATGTTGTCTCGTTTACCTTGTCCACCACCATCTGCAGCGACAGCTGGCAGTGGGAGCCCGCATCCCATCGGTTGGCTTAATTGTTCAAACAGCTGACCAATGTAGCAGTCCTAAAGCTCTCTACCGCCAATCTTGCGTGGAACTTGCCGTCCACCTCAGTGATCAAATTCACTATGGCTATCGAAAGGTTTATTCGTGACCAAGCAGCGACCAGAACTTTGCGCCAGCTTGAAGTAAGCAACGTCTCAAATGTTCCGGCTTCTTTCATGGCATACATCCTCACGGCGTGTCCGACCGTGTCCATTCGTGATCTCCGACCTGCACTTCAAGATCGTGACGAAAATGACTTCCCTCTCTCGGCGGAGAACACTGAAAAGAAAACGGGCATTCTATTCCCCTCCCGCCTGTGCCGACTGAAAGCCACAATTCTCGATATTAGCTGTCTCATGCCGCCGACTCTAAATCAGCTCATTATTGCTCATGTCGAATGCTTGCGTACCCTTGTCCTGACTGGCAAACCTATCCGGTGGGGCCACACTCTTTTCGCATCACGTTTGCATGATCTCTGCTCCGCCGCCAGCGCAAGATTAGTGCACCTGTCGATAGAGCTGCCCAGTAGGTTTTAACTCATTCGTGACCGCCCTCCCACTTTATTCACAATTGTACAGCACACGTACACCACGATCAAACTCCACCATTCCTCCTCCCTCACCTCCCGCGCTTGCGGTACCTCCAAATAAACTTTCAAATTCTATCCAGCGACGAGGACGATGACCCACACTGGCAGTCGCCATCGCTAACACCACCGCCGGAGCTACTCGCACTACTGTCTCCCCTGCTGACGGATCCGGAGAGTGCATTCCCTCTGCTCTCCCAGCTGTGCTTGCGTCCCGATATATACACTGGTTACCCAACCTCGCGCCGGGGCAGCTTGGGGCTTCGCAACACCAGTATGCCGCCATGTCATCTGCTGGATGAGATCATTGCGGGCCATCCCGGCGGCGCATCGACTCGCTGCGTCCCTCGCTTCTGCCACTGGCGCAAACACAGTGATCAAGAAGCATTTCCCACGGACTCGCCGCTCCACCAGCAGCTCTTCGAGACGTATGCGCAGGCCATGTATGCGCTTCTTCCCAAGGCGACCGCCCAGGGTCTCAAGATCATCAACTACCATGCGGGGGCGGAATGGAGGGAAGAAGAGGTCGAGTTTTGTGAGCAAAAGTAGTTGAAAGAAATGTCTGTACTCGGCTCGTACAATCAGGTAAAGAACAAGTCATGTAATCGTCCAATAGAGTCAATAAATGCATAGAAACAACAGAGTCAAGAGATATGGAGCTGAGCAGAAAAGTAGAACCAAAGTACGAGTAGAAGTAGCTGAAAAAGTAACAGTATGCCTGATATCATCGCCTCGAAGAGTACATGAAAACGACCAAGTGATTTCAGTCGGAATAGGATGTTGGAAGGGTTTTAGATGTCGAAGCCAATGATACGAGTGTGGGTTATATCGGCCACTGAGGAAAGACGGCATTTGAAACCTTATGGCTGAGTTTTTCCCGGGGGCAACTTGGAGGCCACACACAGTGATGTGAAACGCGTCCCAGACATTGCCCATAAGAATACCAAAAGTGTCGAAGACTACGAGAGTCGGTGGAGCAAGCGTGATTGACTTGTATGAACGACCACGACAAGTATATGGCGAATATGGCGTCGAGTCCATCCAACGACCCAAGTACGACGGTAATATGGGCAGAAAGAGCTTCGGGACGAGCCCTTGAGTAGGGGGAACATGTAGATCGGGTCGGCCGAGCGATATCGCAAAGGCACGGCGATGCGAAAAAAAGCTTGTGGTAGCAGGATGTGATAGCGTGTGACTGACGCGAAAAGGAAAGCGAATCGCGATGAGGAAGATTCCCCGGGCTGCAGCAGGTTCACGGAGGACCACGGAGGAGATGGACCACGGAGGAGATATCGATCGAGGTAATGACCGGGTCGCATTGGAATGAGGTTGCAGGACCCAGGATTGCGAATGGAATGAACGTGGAGTTGTCGAAACTCTGAATCAAGTAACCCCGCATTGGTTCGTTGCAATTCCCCAGTCGCAACATTGAGCTCGAGCCCAGTCTATTTTCCAAATAAATGCTTCAACCCGTTGAAGCCTTCGACAGCGTACATGTAGGTGGGTCGACAAAGTGCCCGATTTCGTGATTCCGAAGATGTTTGAATCGTTTTCGGGAAAGGGGAGAGAAAATGGTGGTATAGCGAGCGCGAATGGGGGGAAATGTGAAACACTGAGTGGCGTTTGGTAGATGAGGAGGAGCCAAGTGTAAACGACGGCACTGGGCCATTGAATCGCTTCTCGGTGGTCAAAACATTCGCCTTTCTGAACGAGGATAACATGGCCGTTTTTCTGCGTGAGAGCCGGAGAGTATCTATGTGTCTGAGCATGTGCTGCGGATTCGGGGCAGAAGCGAGGACATACCTGCAATGCACAGTTTTTCATGATCACCCCCCGCCATTGAATGCTTCTCGTCTCTTAGCTCTGCATCGTCCGAGAGGATGTTCAAGTTGGGCAGCTCAGGCCAATTGAAGATAAGAGACAAGTCTATGGGAATGAATGTTAGGACCAGTGTCAGCCGCGAATGATACACGCACGGTATTATTTCAACTATGTCTAGTCGCGGCGGTTAAAACATCTGGTCTGGAAGTTTTGCAGCAGGGACTTCTTCGTTTATTTTCCGAATGCGAGACGACCAACCTGGAGAGAGTGTCAGAAAGATGAGCTACAGCACAGCTTGGTAGTTTCACGCACCGGTAAGCAAAGCTTCCTCTCAGTCAAGCCGCCTATCTTGTGGATTCGTGACCCCTGGGGCAGGTCGGTAGTACTAGCAGCATAGTGGTGACGGGGACAGGCAATGCTGAAACAGCGACAGCGAATCAGCAATACGACAATCAGAGCGGAGCCAAGGGGAGAGCACCGTTACTGAATTGCGTCCTGGTAGACAATTTCATGCTCCAATATGTGTGCTGGGTGAGGCCTACAGTCGCCGACCAGGATGGAAAGTAGGAGGAAAGAATTGATTCCTCACGTGCTCTTTCCGCTGACCACCTCGTCTTCCTCTACTATCGATGGCTCTTTCCAGGGCTTCGTGAGTACGCGTCGTCTATATTGAGTACAGAGACTTACCTCCAGATCTCTAGTCCGCCTCTGCCACCTATCGAAGCTTACGCATTTCTCTTGGACCATGACGAACAGTCACGAACTCGAGGCCACCGCTGGTCTCAGCCAGGCTTCGTGAGTAGGCGTCGTCTATATTGGGTACAGAAACTTACCTCCGGATCTCTAGTCCGCCTCTGCCACCTATCGAAGCTTACACATTTCTCTTGGACGATGATGAACTCGAGGCCACCGCTGGTCTTAGCCAGGATTCTGTCAACGATGCCAAGGAAGAGCATGATCGTATTCCGGCTCAAATTGAGCAAGTGAAGGTGGCTTTCGACCAGGAACTCAGGCAAGCCCAGCAGCGTGCGAACGACAAAATCGCCCAACTTGAGAAACGGAAGGAAGAGTTGGGCGAGGTCATTCGAAAACATCAAAACATCTTCTCTGCCGTTCATAAACTGCCCCCGTCTGTTCTTGCTCGTATTTTCTCTTTCAGTTTGGACGATTACCTCTCCGACACGCCATTTCTCGGGGTCTCTTCTGACGTGGCTCTGCGAAACCTGACCCACGTTTGTTCGCGGTGGCGTCGAACCGCTGTTGATAATGCACACCTTTGGACAAGGGTGTCGCTGAAGTATGACTATCGCTCCAGCAAGCTGGAAAATCTCCTTCGAAAATATCCGCTTACGAGATTGGAGACGCAACTTCATCGTGCCAAGCAGGCCCCCCTCGACATTTTTCTCGACTTCGACGAGAGCCACGAGATAACTGAATCGACATTTATGCATTGGAAAGCCCTTATCGGTCTCCTTGCACCAACGAGCAATCGCTGGCGATCGATGACGCTAGATAGTCTACAGAACAAGAGCCTGCAAAACCTTTTGCAGCCTTTTCTTCAGCCAGAATCTCGTCTTGAAAAGCTCGAATTGCTGGATATCATGGGTTACATTACCTTGGAGAATGATACCCTGGTTTGGTTAGCACGCGGGCCGCGTCTGCGCAGAGTTTGCCTCTACAAATGGAATGCATTCATACTCCCGGTGTCGTGGCACAACCTCTCCGAGCTTTCTTTGTGCTCTCTGCTCTCAGATCTTTGGGGGATCCTACCGTTAGCGGCCAACCTAGAGCGTTGTCGGTTGACTGTGGTGAACGCTGCTCCCTACGTATACCCCGGCACGGTGCCGAGTCCACAGCCCACGAGCATTGCACATCTTGGCAACATGAAACAATTCTATATTCAATCCGGGAAGACGGTGGACGACCTGTTGGTAACAGTTTCTATGCCTAACCTGGAGTATCTTGTCATCGACGCGCCGTTCTATGGTGTGTCCGGGTTCCTGTCGCGTTCGAAATGCAGTTCCCTTCGTGGCTTGCGAATATTACCGACTGCTGATGAACTTGGCCTTGTCCTCACGATCGCCCGAACACAACCGCTGCTGGCCCATCTCGAGGTGCAGATCACCGGCGCTCCCCGCGATCCCGATTGTCTCGATTTCATTCGTAAGCTGAAGCTCTCATCCCCTCCGAAGTTTGATGACGCCTGCCCACGCCTGGAAACACTGCTGTTGCACCTACGTGTCCCAACAAAGATGCAGATCGCGGCGATTATGAGGCTCTTGCTAAATCGAACGAAAACGACCTCAGCAGAGCATTCACGAACGACATGTCCGCTACGTGCGCTTGACATAGGTGAAGTGGGGTGGGCGAGTCTTTCCTGCGATGACCGGTTCTGGATGCAGAGGCAGATAAAGCTGAATTATGTTCTCATCTCTCCCGAACCCTTGCTAGCGGACGATATAGAGAAAAGGCGCTGGTCCAGGATTCCTGAACTGGATGAACCATACTGTCTCAGAGTGACCACGGAAGTAGTATAGCGCAAACATGAATGTCCTCGAACGCGAATTACCAATACCAATCAGCAACTTGAACTCAGTTTTAAAATCATTCTGTGATCACAAGCTGAGAGGAGATTCGTCCAACGGTCCAAGATTGGCAAATGATTGTTTTTTGCGCCGAAGTCCCAGTGTTCAGCCCTTCTTCAAGGAGGTATTGCTGTGCGGGAAATATGCCGCTGAGAAGACTGGCTCCTGTAGGTGCGACTCTAGAATCAAAGTGGGGAGCACCACAGTACTTAGTTGGAATAAGTTTGAGGCTTATGGTAAGTTTGAGGCTGCACGTAAGGTGACGCAAAGCCGGCGAGTTATATTTATGTTGGCGCCAATAGCAAGCGGCGTCAGCGCAAGACAGGGTAGATAGATGGTGGTTCTGCGTCAAGATCATGAAGATGTCGCAGCGTGACAATATCATCTCATTCTTCTTCTGCTCCTCGACCACGGATGACGATATCACCTTCCTGCCTTAGCTCCTTGCCACTGCATTGCCCAAATACCCGTACTCGATGCTCGTGAAGGTGGGGGGAAGTTTGGTGAGTTCTTCTACCCAGGCACGACGTTTGACCAACCTCTCGCTGAGGCTGAAAGCTGTTTCCCGTCAATATTATGCAGGGCTGGTGCCTTAACAGCCGACATATTCTGGTTTTTGGAGAAGGGACTCATGATGGTGGCAATGTCGAGCCCGTCGGTCGCATTTCTGTGCGTCATATCCACCCATGCCGTCCTCTTTTACGGAGTCCGTTTCTGACGCGTTTCTCTTCGCAGATATTTGCGAACGGCAACCCTCGCCGACTGAAGCACTAGTAATCAGAGCTAGTCCATTCAGCGATTTCCAAGCAGGCGGCCTTCTGCTTCCCTGCTATGACTGGGATAACGACAATGCTCACCTCTATGACGACAATATCGTCGCCGTCATGGAAGCTGCGCTCGCAGTGTGCAAATTGACCCTTGTACAGTATGTCCGCACCATACTTTGTCTCCATATCCATTCACGCTTCCTCCCTAGCGCATTGCCATCTTGCAAGCCAACAACACGAGGAGGAAACGACACGGTGCTTGTGCGTTCTCTTGTCTTGAAAGCCCTGGTCAATGGGCTAACTTGTGATGTAGACTAGTCTATGACGCATGCGCTGGCAGAACAGCTCGTTATCCGGGCAGCCGTGGACAAGACAGCAAGCTCATCCTATTTCTCCATTCTCCAACTCCGAACTCAAGCCCGTTGACAACCTCCTTCATTACCATATTGGTTTTCGCCCACTTGAAGTCCCTTTTCCCCCAGACTCTCGCCGAAAACACCATTTGCGCCAATTTTACCCCAAGACCGAGATTTCAAGACCCGATGGCCATTCAGAAATACTCTCTAGTATCTCGATGTCTTCGTCAGCATCTGCACCTGCCGCCAAAACGTTTTTGTTTTTGTTTTTGTTTTCGTTGCCAGCGCCCGCACCAGTAGCGCACTTCTCTCCCCCGTCACTGCCCTCGTCCACAGTCACGCTACCCACAAAAAGTTTGCGACTCTGCCTATGTGCAACAGGAGCCACTATCAACCTTATCTCGTGGTGCAGTGGTACATACTGTCGACACTCAATTATTTCCGGACGCTAAAACCTATGGGAAGACTGTCGTCGACGCTGTCCTGGACGAGGATGTTAGTATCGACTTGGCGTTCAGGCGCAAATCACACGCGCTTAATAAAACCTGTCTCGCTACACATTTGCATGGAAAGCTATGTGCGGGTGTGTTTTTGGAGGGACCAGCTGCAGGCCTCTGTGCTTGGTCTTTGTAGTCCGTTTGGGGTCGTGTCAAAATGGGTGCGGCCCGACAGCCTCCCGACAAGGAGAAAATTGTTCTTTTGCTATTGTACTGTACCTTGCCTCCGGGCATTTATGACTACTTATTGATACCGATGTATTTCGTCGTTCGTCTAACAGGGTGTAATGACTGCGTTGACGGCACAATAGCTATAGTCGATGGGCAAAAAGAACGCGTCATCAGGTTGAAGTTATACCAACGCGAAAGCAATAGAGAGTGAATGGAGCAACGGCTTTGACGACAGAGAAAGAGGACATGTATAGTGATAATCGCGGTCAAACGGAAAGTAGTGGTCAAAATAGCTGAGATACAAAAAAAGGATAGCCAACGAAGGTGTGGGTACTGGATAAATAAGAACGGGATCGAATGCGAAGACGAGTATTGCGCTAAGTAATGAGCAGCACATGAAATATCTAAACCATTGCTGGACCACTGGCAGACGGTAACGGATTGTCATTTGCATCCCGTTTACGACCCTTGACGCCAAACTCTCCGCAACCGACAAACGTTCCGGATAAGGCGAGCAACGACTCAAGATGTTCCCACATTCGGCAAATAGAGACTCGCAGTTGCCACTGTCGGACAAGTCCCAAGGATCGATGCCGCAAATCCACATGCGCAAGATGGCAAGCCCATATGGTCAACGACCTGCCTTCTGACAGCGCGCAAGCCTCATGGTGGGCACGACCGTTGCTCAAACTCGCGATGCGGAGACCAGAATGTGGTGTATTAGCGTGAAAGCATGGGGCTGGCAGTGTGGGAGATGAGGGTGGGCACACTCTTTGGTGACCTTGAAGAGGTGGCAATTGAAACCATTTCCGCACAACAACGTCTTCTTCGTCTTCGAACGAGTGCGCGAGGAAAGGTTGCCGAGAGCATGGACGTGGAGTGTTTATGGCCAAGCCTGAGAGACAAGGCCGACGGATGTATTGAATCGTTGGGAATGGAAGGGGGGGGGAATATCGATAGCGTGGACTCGAGATTCTGGTGGTTGGCAGGAGTGTAAGTAAAAGAAGGAGGCTGTGTCATGCACGGGGACATGCTACATCTTAACCACGAGGGAGTATTAGAGCGAGACTGCGAGAGGAAGAGAGCTCGCCTTGACCTTTTTTCCATCCGATTCTGCTCAAAAGTCTTCTCCTCTGCCATCTTGCCTTCAATCCGCATTGAATGGCCGGCGCAGATGTAAGGGAGGCGCTCCAGCGGGCCAAGCAAACAGGGCCAGGACCTTTGAATTGCAAGAGCTGCAGACAGTCAGTCGGAGAAACGAGAAATCAGTCAAGTTACGCACTTAGAAACCTTGATGGTCTGGATATGAGCGCAAATGAGCTCAGTCCCCAGCGCGTCTGTAGCTATGACATGACGAGAGACCAACGTGGTCGAGAAAGCTGGCGTTTGAATGCGTGTTTGTTGGAGGCCAGGCTGAGCGAAGCGGATAGGAGAACGGAGGCGCCACGAAATCGTCCGCGGTGCTAGTGTGGCACAGCGCTTGGGAGGGAGGAGAGCGAAGGAGGCTTCGACATGGAGGTCGGAGGCAGAGACGATTGGCGGGTCATCACGTGCACATGACTTCTTGATCGGGACCACATCCATCGTCTTTACTTAGCTCAACTCACACGCGCCTCAAGGCTTGACTCTTCCCGCTCTATCGTAGCTTCTGTGGCTCATGGCCATGACGCGCCCGTCTACATCCAGCGCCAGTCGTCGGCAAGAGCTTCACGCGCTTAAAATCGTCGCCGACAACACGCCCGACCCGTATGGTCAGCTCGCAGCCAAGATGGAGTCGCTGCAGCTGCGCATTCCACCGCAGAAGATGCTTCCTCCGGAGCTGCTCGTGGAAATCTTCAAGCTGTGTGCTGACTTTCCGAACGCAACAGCGCTGCCGCCCAAGCCAGATGACGTTCTCCTCGTGCTGACCAACGTCTGCTCTACTTGGCGCTCCATCGTTGTGTCTATTTCAGAGCTCTGGTCCGCCGTAGCGGTCAGCCTCACGCAAGGAAGCGACATCCAAGTGGACAATGTCGCCGTTCGTGTAGGTGACTGGTTGGCGAGGGCGATGAATACTACGCTATCGTTGGCAATAGACTGCTCGAGAGAGCTCGCGGCTGTGGCAGATGTGAACCCCATTCTCACCTCATCACTCTCCGCACTAATCGCCTCTATCGTGCTCCAAAACACATCCCGTATAAAATTTCTCCGGCTCGTATTCCCTCCATCGTGTCTCTCTGCACTTTTCGACGTGCCTGCAGGCGGCTTTCCAGAGCTACAAAGCTTTGAAATCGGACCGCACATCTTCGACAGCGATCTGGAATTTTCGGAGGCGCCAAATTGGCAATGGCGGCGAGCTACCCCTGGGTTCACAAGCGCCGAGCGCCTGTCGCGCGCGGTGTTCTCGCCGGTGTGGCCAACGATTACCAACCTCCCACAGGTAATTGATCAGATCTATAACTCGGACGGCAACTCCGAGTCGGAATTCTCCGTGGCGTATGTCGCGTTTCATGCAGCGGGCGTCGAGCTACCCTGGCGAAATTTGCGCAGTCTCGAGTTTGTTTGCACGATGTGTAGCACCGACGTCTGGCTGAACATCTTCCCGCAGTGCCCGCTGCTCGAAATATGCCATATTGGCGTCCGGCCCGGCCCGGAACCGCCAGCCCGTGCCACCGAATCCCTGCCTGTCCAGATAAGGCTGGAAAACCTGGACTACATCTACCTCGTGTCCGCCGGCAGCGGCGGGGACACGCTATTGGCTTCTCTGGTGGCCCCCAACCTGCAGCGCTGCGGCTTGCAGGGCCAGATCTCCACGCGCGCGCTCTTCGCGTTCCAGACGCGCTCGGGCTTTGCGCTCCGTGTCCTCGTGACCGTGCTGCACATCGCCACCCTCGACGTGTACCCCCTCCTGGAATACTTCCCCACGCTCAATTCGCTGGGATTTTGTGTTGCCGCGACGGAGCACTTCCCGCCGGACATATGGGCCCGCATCGCCCGCCGCGAGCTCCTCCCGGAGCTGCTCTGTCTCATGCTTACCCCGCGGGTGGAGCAGGTGGCTGCGGTTGCCACGGCAATTGAAGAGAACTGGAAGCGCGCGGTGGGGGCGGGGACGGCATATTTGGGGGTCAAGTTTGTCTCTGTTCCGCCAGATGATGTGCCGCTTTTAGAGGAAGCGCTCGCGCCGCTGGCCCGTTATGAGGCATTTGGTATGCAGGTAGAATTCTGCTGAGGGTATGTGGTATATTATCTCTGTCACCTGTGCCACGGCCCTAGGGGCTACGGCGTGTCTGATTGTGAGCAAGTCAACAAAGGCCACATTTCGCGATGATAAATAATTTCGTGTGCTTCTAACGTAGCTGCTTTACTAGAGAAAAATTGTATCCAAAAAGACGCAGTAACAAAGCAAATGACACAAGAAGAAAGAGGTTGGCCGCAGTAAGTTGTTGTGCCGATAAAAGGAGTTAAAATGCGACTGACGTTGGCGAAGTTGGCTATGGCTGGAGGTTTAAGGATGCTCGGCCTCTTTATAATTGTCCCAAAGTCGCCCATGCATTCGCGCTGTCGTCCAGTCCCGCACGTATGGACGCAAAAACAACTCTCGACAAACGGCGCATAAGGATTAGCTTGCGCCGCGGATAAGTTGGTCAAAAGAATTGAGTCGGATGTTTATAGCCCTTTGGAGCGCGGAGTATGACCACCAGAGCGATACGTGTCGGGTTGGTCAAGATACGTGGATGTCTTTGACAAGTGCCGGCACGTGACCTGCCCTTTGAGGACGAGCGCCCTCGAGCGACGTGGAGTTGGTGGACAACGCGGGCGCGGAAAATGAAGGAGAAGTTGAGCGGAGACAGAGAGCCGGCGCGTGGTATGGTGGGGTACAAGGCTGAAAGTCCAGAAGAAGCCGACCAGTATACGACTGTCCGTGAAGCTCGACGTCGGTGGGGATGGAGTGAGGAGATGCTATAGCACAGTCTTCTGTTTATGGGCGTGGACGGGGGAGACAGTCATGGCTGCTGCTGTAGACACGAGCTTACGCTCGATGTGGCTCGAGAACATGATCTTGTTAGTTATCCTGAAGCCTTAGCGGTAAGTGAGTAGCCACGAGCAGCACAGTTCAACGCACTCTAGACATCGCGTTGGATGCTAGTCGGGAAAGGGATGCAACAAGCAACGATGCAGATTGGGAAAGAAGTCTAGCGACAGCGAAGTTAGGAGTGTCATAAGTGTAAGTGGTACCAGCGCTACGCACCTGCATCCAGACGTGTCTCATGCTACCCCTGCCAGCCACTGAAGACGAGACACTTCAGGTCGACAAGCTGGAGCTCGTTGTCTCCCTCAGAAGGCTGAGCAAAACGAGTCAGCAGAAAAACGGAAGCATGGACGGCGAGAAGGACACACCACTCTGGAGTATATGCTGTCATTGCTAATGACGAGCAAACGATGCGCGCAACGGAAAAGCAAGAAGAGTACTAGTGGTGGTCGTTCGTAGAAAAGAAGGTGATTGATCACGGTCACGCCGTCGAAAAACTTGCCTTGTGCGCTCGTGTCGCTCTTCGTCAGACAGCAAACACTCTTGCTGGACGTTCATCTGCCGTTGCACGATGCACCGCTGCCTAGGTATACCCGAAATTGCTCTCGAGATAGTCAAGCAAGTCGCCGACGAGCCTGGGGCCTGGAGTGCTCGTGATCTTGCCCATCTAGCACGCACATGTCGGCTCTTCTCAGGCTTTGCCCTCGAGGAGCTGTGGCGGGACACCATAATCAACCGGAGACTTCTTCTCAACCTCTTGCGTTGCTTTCCGTGCGATTTGGTGGACATCTCTGAGACAGACGACGGAATGGAGGTGGTCGGTGCTGTTCCTTGTCAGCGGTCCTGCCTTGTGCTCACGCCTATATGCAGAATCAGCTACGTGCCTTTGCTATCTCGGACTTGGCGCGTCCAGAGCGCTATTTTCGAATGGTCAAGAAATTCACCCATGTGGCGGGCTGGAGCAGACCACTTGATACGAAGATATTGATGCTGTTCTCGACATGGATACCGTGGGACTGTATATTCCCGTCCCTCAGGTCGCTCACGTGGGGAGTAGTAGCCATGCACCCGGGAGAACAAGGAGATGCCCCTGCAATCGCCAACCTCCTCCGTTTTCTACTCCCCTCACAGCTAAGCAAACTAGGTTTTTGTGACCTTGATCCGGTCTCCCTCTCGCTCTTCCCACTCATCGCCGCCAGAAAGCTACCTATCCGCGAACTCATGCTCATGGGGGAACTCATGGACCCGTCTCCGACAACGAGCCCGATTGCCACATTGTTCCGCTCCTTGAACCGCCTCGAGCATCTCGAAATTTCACCGTTCGTGGATCGGGAAGCATTCAATCACATTGCGTCCCTTCAACATCTGGCAGTGCTCTCAATCAGAGGCTCCGTTGAGGCTGGTCCATGCGACACTGTGACATCATTTCCTGCATTGACCGACTGCAGCTGGGTCAACGCCAATCTGAACGACGTTTCCCAATTCCTGCCAGCGATCCGTGGCTCCCCTCTCCACAGCATCTGCCTCGACCCTGGCCGGTTCGAGTCTACCACAACTGAGCTTGTATCATCGGTGATATCTCAGCTCAGCAGATCGGAGGGACATGTCTTGTCGCTTCGCAGTTTCATGTTCGGCAGCGCGATGTTCGAAGAAGATGGACAGTGGGAAGGTGACTAGCGGATCCACGCCTCCGTGCTGGCCAACATGGGCCGTTTCCCTAACCTGACCGCGATGATCTTGAGCACTCCTGGTGGATTCGACGCGGACGACAATGCGCTATCGGGGTTTCTCGCCCAGGTACCACAGCTGGCGCGTCTCTGCCTCGTCCAACCAAACGTAGGCAGCAAATTCACCCTCTATGCGCTGGTCATTGCAGCGCAACACTCTGCCCTGCGGTATCTAGAGCTCACGATGGACGGCGGAACCGGGCCGCTCCCCGCGTTGGCTGAATCCTCCCCTAGCTTTCCGAGCGTACTGAGAGAGCTATATGTTGGGCACACGCGCATCAGGGACCCAGCGCCGATGGCCAACTTTCTCCACACGCTGTTCCCGGCCCTGGACAATATCGAGCATCAGTGGCTGGATGAAATCGAGGAGTACAACGTGGCGCCGGATGATATAGCAGCTGCGCTTAACGCACAGTTCTTTGCGGGCCGTTGGGATGAGGTCGCACAGCTAATGGAGGACATGTGGGAAGAACGGTCGGCCGAGGAATCAGATCAATCGACCGAATAGTATAAGCTGACGAAATGAGCTTGAGCAGTTGAGCAATTACGATTCTTGGTACCCATCGTTACAAAATGATATAAATGTAGAAGTAATGACGAGTGTATATTGTAAGTATCGAATATGGTCGTAAAGGAAAAGAGACTGACAAACGATTACAATAAGTCTCGCTCAGATAAACGGGCAGCACCCTCCGAAAAACACCCTGTACCCTATCATCAACACAAGACACCCGTTCAAGCCCCGCTTATCGCTGCTGGACGCACAAACTCAGCTTGCATGTACAACGTCTGTCCAAAAAATGGGTGCAATTGTCGAGAGAAGAGGTCTCAGGTCGATGCATGAAGTACGTGGCTTTTGTGATGAGAGTTCGCGTCAAGAACGAGGAACAACAACAAAGAACGTGTTAAGGGTCGGAGTCGGAAGGGCAGCATTCAAATTTCAATTCACTGAGAGTACCACAGCTGTATAATCGGCATTAAAAATCAAAAGCGAAACCCGCAGCGACGTGAACGCACGAATACCGGGAACAAAGACTTGAATATGTCGTATAGCATCCCAGCCGATTTCTATAGCCGGCTATAGCTGGTAAGTGAGAATGCGAGCCGGTTAAAAACAGCCAACTCACAGGAGAAAGCCATCTACGATAGCCCAACCCGAATCCTTCGGTCATCTTCAATTGCTTGACTGACAGAGATATGCATGTCCTTCAAGTGGTGAACGGCATGAAAGGAATAGTGTTGGGATAGTTGGAAAGGGGAATTAAGAACGACCCAAATTGTCCTGTAAGTGGGACAAGCTGCCAAGGCCCTTTGACCCGCGGCAGTGTCAAAATGACGAGCCAGAAATTAGATGCCAACACCCGCGGTTTTTGCATCGAATTCGCATAGTCTGCGTCCGGAGTCAGTACACAAGATAGCTTGGGAAGGAGAAAACATACTCTTTCTCTCTTTCTCGAGTAACGATACATTTCCGCTCGTTCTGCATTTCTCCCCGTAGTTCAAGCAAAACAATCAAGGCAGCTTTATCACAGCCCAATATGACGCTGAGGATCCTTGTCGGCCATATATCGAGCTTGATTTCCGGGACAGGGTTCTAGCCGAATTTGTCGAGGAGAGAAAACGTTAACCCATGAACGATTTGCGCAGGCAATGTCGGTCTTGGGTACAAAAAGATCAACGAGACAGATTTTGTTTTCAAGCATCGCCCCCCATGACGAGTAAATCCGCTGCTGGTCCACGCCATATCCAATATCGATGGATGGATGCAAGAAAAAGCGTTTCGATGGAGCCGATGATAAGAACTGGGCAGTAGATAATGCACAGTAGTGTTTAAATGAGTCGTTTCGACCAGAATGAAAAGGCGCGAAGAGGCGGTCGTTGCTGTAGCTTGAGGTCAATTTCGTCCACAGAAGGATTGTGCACGTGACTTCCAAATTGGGGAGAGAGAGAAACGATAGCTGCGACGGGTATTTTGGTTGGGTGGCGGTCGGATATGGCATGCTTTACCCGGGAAAATAGGAAGTTGGTTAACGACGAGACGCAGCCGGTATCATGGGGGTGTAGAGATGGAATTTTGTCGAAGGTCGCGAGAGGGAAATATCTCGTTGCGAGTCGTGCAAATGACGGCTTTTCTGAGGAAATCGATCGTAGTATGAGCAATGGAAGCGCTAGAGCAGCAAGTTGAGCGGAAAATTCTGGTACTTTACAGTAGCATGAACGCACCAATTCGGAACGACCAGAGTCATTATTCATACCCGACTCACCCCCGCAACCAGCGCAAGGTAAACACATGGTTTCTGCGACAAGGTTGTCGCAGAGTCGCAAGGCAACACAGTCGAGACCCCGCTTATAAGTCGGTTGACTGTGAGGGTTCAGAATCGACGCGCAAGATCTCAGAGAATATATCTACCCCGAGTTTGGGCTTCAAGTTGGCCCCTCCAGCGACGATGGCCTCAATATGCTCCGCCGCGGATAATTATTCAATGCTCTGAAGGCTCCGCCAGTAAGCTGCTGTTGTCGCTGGCGCGGAATGACACGACCACTGGGAAGAGCGAGAAGTTATATGGGTGACGTTTACATCGGCGCTCTGGGTGCAGCCATCGTGATCACCAGTCAGTAGAGATCACCAGTCAGTAGAGGACGGTGCTATGAGATGTCATGAGGGGGAAAAAGAGCTTCAGATCTAAATTCACGCACATGCTGCTACTGCGCAGCCCCAGCGCAACCTCCAAATCCTCTCCCTGTTTCTTGTCTGTTGCTCCTGGTCGACAATGCCCCTGCATCTATGGTCTCCGCCTACGTTGTGGTGGTTCGAAATCGGTGGTGGTGGTAGTCGAAGACAAGCGGGATTGATGCGAGCATCGCGATCACCAAGCAGACTGCCCTGGGCCACGACATGCTCGTTCTCCTGAAATTGCGCGTCCACAGTTTATCTCAGACAGACTACAGTCATCATCGTACCACTAATATTTTGTTCCCATAAGCTACAAACTTGTATGTAAAAACGTCTGTAAACTTCAAGTACGACAGCATGAGCTTACAGGTACGGTAATACAAGTACATTCAAACTTGATAACTTACAAGGACTACTGGTGGATAGCTAAGTGTTTTGCGGGAGTCTTACTCGTCCGGACCACGTGTAACAGCCGTAAGTAAAGGTCCACCTTGTTGATCTTCAGTCCCTTCAACTCTCGCCTAACTCTCCAAACCCTATCCTCCAAGAAGGACATGTTCATCCGCAGCGGGAAAACCAAGTTAAACTCATCCATGCCCCGGGGCACGACAATGACATGGAGGACCATCCGCCCGTTGCTCCGCCGGGCACGGTCGATCCAGTCATCCACGGCCACCATGATTGGAGCTTGAAGGTCGTCGGTAGTGACAAGGTCCCCAGTGGATTCCGGCTCCAATGCAGAGGAAAATCTGAGATCACTGGGCGCGGGAAGCCCTTCGACGAATCGTGCAGCCACGACAGTGACTGCGCGTGGATCGAGATTTGCCTTGGCCAGTTTCTTGGTGCCAACCAGCCGGGGCCGAACCCCAAAGCAGTGGAACTCGGCGGTGTTTTGCTGGTAAACAGCATGCAAGGAAAGACGGAAAAATGCCAGCTGGAACCTTGAAAACGATCGGCGAGTTTCTAAGTTCGCAGATCAGACGATAGCTAAAACCCGGTGATTCAAGACGGACTTATGTAGTCCTGCATTGAAGCAAAACATGTTTCGCGGTGGTTCCCTTCGCGCCAATCCGTCTTTTGACAGAGTTTAGAGCAGTAAAGCCGGGAAAGACAGCCGGAACATTTGCGGAATTTCGCTCTTTCCAATATTCGACTGCACTATAGAGAGAGCAAACAAACAAAAAAAGGCTGTCAAAATAAAGGCTTACGGATGGGTTGTCGCATGCACAATGCCGGGGATGAACCCCGTCCCTCCGTAATGCCAGGAGGATGCGGTGCTGGTGACGAGCGCCATTCTTGAGCCGCGTCCACGGTACCCAGAGCGGGGATTCGGAGTCGTTCAAAACACTCGCCAAGGCTGATTTTTCGACGGCCTCGATTGAATCGACGATCAGAGGCAGGGTACATGGGTACAGCAAGCCACCAACGACTTTTCCGAGCAGCGTAGACAGGTTGGAAAGGAATTCTTTGTCCGATAAACGGGTAATTTCCAGAATGAGCGGAAGCATGTTATGGCGAAGCACCGTCCGCAGAGCACGCGGGCCAGTTTGTACAATGAAAGTCGTCAAGTAGGTGGCTTCGCTGAGAATTTGACGCCATACATGATGCAACTCATGCTGCGGTTGTGAGGTCCGGTTGTGGGGGTCAAGTGCCGAGGCCAAAACTCGACCCATAAGCCCAACCATGCGGTGCCTCAGGAGGGCGTCGGCAATGGAGGTGTCTGAAGAATCCCCCTCTGAGAGCAAAAGGTATATGCGTAGAAGAACCGTGAAAGGGTAGCCCGAGAGAAGCCCTAGTTGAAGGTCGTTGCGCTGGTGGAGAGGAATGGACTCGACTTTCGTCCAGTGGTCCTTCAGTAGTAGAATGAGACCGTCAAGAGTTCCGCCGGCAGCATCTATCATTTCATCAAGCTGAGGGCGGCCGAGTTGGATGACCGTGACAGAAACGAGACAGTCGCAGAGCAGAATATTGTTAATTGGGGATTGGCGAAGCGCCAAAGCCCAGGCTTGGACCACCAAAGCAAGAAATCCTGGTGTGGCATGGAGCACAGTGGTGGGTCGTTTGTCGGCCTTTAATGTACATATTGGAGCAGGGTGCTCTTTGATCCACCGGTGATCAGTTGCGCTGCTGAAACGCATGAAAGCGATGAGCATTTCTGAGGTAAGTGCCACTGCGGTGGTTGCTGTCTTTGCATTCAAGTTGCCGGTGAGCCGAGAGCGTTCCACGACAAGGTCCTGAAAGTTGTAGAGAAACTCTACCCATCGCACAATGAAGGGAAGGAGCTCGACAACGTGTTCTGACGGCGGATGGAAGTGCTTGCTCGAGAGGAATGGTGTCAGCAGCCCAGCGGCACGAAGCACACAGGCCTGCCCGATAGGGGGGAGTGTTTCGAGCTGAGACGCTTCCGGAATCCGTGTGGGGTCGAAGACGGCGAAGAATACAGAGAACAAGCGGGTGCGGAGTGATTCATCCGCTGTAGTCCAGATGAAGGCGAACTGCGTGAAGTCGGCTTCGGAACAGTCGGGTCGGATTGCCGTGAGCGCTATGTCCTGGAAGATCGTAAGTCGTGAAGACGAGGAATATATGGCCCATCGCGTGCCCTATTGGGATTCGGAATCTCGTAAAGGCGTATCGTGTGAAGACTGGCGAGGGGATGCATCACTGGAAGGATCAACCTGCTCGCCGCCTGTCACACTGAGCGATCCTCTCCCTGAACCACCACCAGCGCATTCCGCTAATCATCATTAGCTGGAGGGGTGCTGTCTGCTCTAGCATGAGATACCAACCGCTTGGCATGATTATGCGCTACTCCCACCCATCGCCATCGACACCGGAGCATCGCTCTTTCACCTTTCGCTAACTTGAAACCGGTACGCTAATGGACACTTTCATTGCGTGTTAAGCTTCTGACCCCCAAACAGACCATAGCGTTATGGCTACTTGGGAATGACCCCGAAAGGCATCTGGAGAGGGATATGTAATACCCTAGGTGCATGTCTTTTTCTTCTCGTCAGCGCAGTATTATTATTAGTAGCCTAAGGTCGTCAGCGCAGTTGAATCAATCCGAATGGAGTCTTATGGCTTGAGATGAAGAAGCAGAGCAGTTTCAGTGAAATCGAGGCAATGGGCTACTTCAAGGTGCGCATTATGCCATTGCTTGCTTCTCATTTTGCTTATCTCTGCCCAGCAGGTACACCATTCATTTACTCTGCCTCATCGTTACCAAAATTCACCGCTCTGCCCAACACCTTGTTCACGATCTCTCCCTTCGCTTCCATGAACCGTCTCGCAATTCCAATACAGCACTCACTATCGTTGACGACGCCCATGCACCTTGAATACTTTTGTGGGCGAAATTAACATTATCCTGCGCAGCTGTGGCGCTTTCATTTGCAATTCAGGCTCTTGATATCGATTCTCCGCGCCTCCATACCACGTTTTCGTGTCCAAACAACGACCTCTGCTGGCCAATGCGACTTGCGCTTCCCCCACCCAGGTCAAACTAGTCTTCAGCAATGCGACGAGCCGTGTAGCTCTTGTGTGTTTGGTCGATGAATTCGCATTGTCACTACCTTGACTCCTTCATCACCAAGCATCGACACCATGCTTCTTCTACTATCACCAATGTTGATGATACCGAACTGCCCTAGTATATAACTCATCATGATTGCGATACCGCTCTACTATCTAGTATCTACATCATGATACCTCTGAGACTCAAGCACGCATGGCTATTTTGTTTCAATATATGTCGTTCGTGAACAAGGCCATCGTTTGGACCTACGTGCCTGGGATGTTGCCCGCATAATGGTTAATACTATGTTACATCTTTGCACTGAATAGACACTGTACCCCTCTCTGTTGTTGGTCTATTGTCACTGTCGCTCTTCCAGTCCGCATTTCATGCCACAACTATAAGAGTGGACAACAAGTTTGACCTCTCAAAGTGATAACACCTCGAAGTATAACACATATTGATTCAAGTACTAGTACTACAAAGAAATCGTCTTTCTACTACTGCGTCGGCGCTGTCCATTATATAGCTCGAAAGGACACGGTCCAATGTGAGCAATGGCGAATTGAAACCCTTGCGATGTAGCGAAATCCTAGCACAGTGCAGCGACTTCAGCGGAAAGGCCAAATCTGCTAGATTCGGAGATAGAACACTGGGGCGGCAAGAGTGAGAGTAATATATGCGAGCCGGCGCTTGAACTACGTACTTCGATAACATTTCCCTCAACTGCTAATGCCCACAAGCGTCCCAAATATTCCTCATCAAGAACATTGGATTCCAGCAGCCTAACAGTTATTAGAAAGTGAAAGGAACGGGACGAACAGTCCGCACATTACAATGGTAAGAGATATTTGAGGAAGGGCGGTCTGCTTGAAAGAAGATGAAGCCAAGACCGGCAGAGGCCGAATAGGACACGAACGGGATTTGGGGGTGTCAGAGAAGATATTTCCGGAAAGGAAGATAATGTTTCTCGAGCAACGGCGCCATCGAGGAACATTGGAGCACGATAATGACGTCCTCGACTTCAAATGACGGTTGGTCACCCATGAACCATGAAGAAACCATCGGAAATGCTATACAATGCAGGAGGGTGACCGAATGCACCACCGGATAGAGTCCAGTAAGCGCAGTAGAGTTGCGAGAACGAGCTCGAGGTGTGTCTGTCGATTGTGGCACAAGTCACAAAATTGGCCCACGGACCACCGTTTCGTCTGCAACGCGGGCCGGAACTGATGTTTCGTGAAGAGTCGAGTTGTGTATACAGGATGATCCAGTGGATAGAGGGATATCGGAAGAGGAGGGCGAGATGCAAAAATTGCCTTGTCTCGATGTGACGTGACTTCAGGTGACAGCATGGAAGGAACGCGACGAAAAGGCATTTTATTGCTCGAGCAAGCTCGTCAAGCACGGAGGTGGCGGAAGAAGTATGGAAAGGAGTTGAAGAGGAGGGTAAGGACTCAATGGTCAGGGATGTTTTGCTGTAGTCGTTGAAAAAGTAGGGTTGTCGATAACGAGTCAGGTCTCGCTCGGAAATAGTATAATAAGGAAGTGGGAGCTCGTTCGATGGGGTCCATGACGCCAGACGATGCTGTCAGCGCGTAGCGATACGCTGAGCATGATCGCAGTCTTGCACTATGCCCCAAACTCGTCTTTCCTCCTTGCGATGGAAGGTGTCGTGTCCAGTGGGCTACGTGCTGCGGGAAAGGAGAGCGAGACGTAGTCGTAAGTGTATGGCATGAGGCCGGGGGGGTTATGAGCCGGTTGACGAAGGAGAGGCTTTCGTCGCTTGCCATAAGTTTGAGGATCTCGTCGAAACGAGCAAAGGTGAAGACTATGCGTGGGGCAGGGTGGATCATACACACTAGAAGAATGAGTGTAAGGCGGCGATGAGGAAGGAGACAAGCCAAAGACACGCACGCGACAAGGTTTGGCTCCTCATCCGGACCCGACTCTGCTCCCAGCTTGAAGTGTCCAAAACCTCCTCCAAATCGTTGCATACGCGTCTTCGAATGGTCTTCGCCACATTGTTCCCGGAAGTACTGATGTTGCTGTGGCCATATGGGCAGGCGAAATCAAGGCCATGGCGGTCGTGGTAGGGGTAAAAGCCAGAGAGTGATGATGGCTTTCACTGATCGGCACTGCTACTGCTTGACGGAGACCACCACTAATCCAAACTGCCACAACCAATCTTTCTTCTCGCCGTCCCACTCCATGGTACCTCCTCTGCCCCCCGAACTCATAGCCTTGATCATCGACAACCTCCACACCGTCAGGACGCTTAAAAGTTGCAGCCTCGTTGCGGATGTGTTTCGCCAACCCGCTCAGCGCAAACTGTATCGCCACTTCACGGTCAGGATCGAGTATATCAAGGGAGCCTTTGACTGCTCCTTAGACGAGGAGCTCGTAGCCCATCTCCTTGCATCCCCTCACCTCGCACGCTATGTTGTTTCGTTCACATTGTCCGCTATCATCCGCGGCGGCAGCTGGGAGTTGGAGCCCATAACCCGTCGACTGGCCACGTTATTCAAACACCTTTCGAATGTGGCAGCTCTGAATATCTCCGTTGACTCTCTCGCCTGGACTCGGAACTCCCCACTCACTGGCACCCCGTTGATCACATTCACCATGGCCATCGAGAGATTTATTCGCGACCAAGCAGCAACCCGCACCTTGCGTCAGCTTGGAGTGAGCAGCTTTTCAAAAGTCCCGGTTGCTTTCATTACACACATCCTCATGGCCTGCCCGACTGTGGCCATTCGTCATCTCCGACCCTCGCTCCAACTTGAATATCCTGACAACAATGGCTTCCCTCTGCCGATGGAGAGCACCGGTAACACCCGCCTGTGCCGACTCAAAGCCGAAATCTTCGATATCAGCCACCCAGAGCCACCGGTGCATCAGCTTATGATTCCTCACGTTAAATTCTTGCGTACCCTTGTCGCGACTGGTTGTAGTCCGATGAGCTGGGACCCCCGTCTTATAGCATCCTATTTGCACGACCTCTGCTCCGCCGCCAGCGCGACACTAGTGCATCTATCGATAGAGCTTCCCGGTAAGTTTGGGCTACTTCTTTGTGATCGTCCGGCGGGTTAGTGACGATATCCGCCTTCTACAGCGCAAGGACAACGTGACCCGCCGCCACCATTTCGCCTTCCACGCCTCCCGCACTTGCAGTACCTCCAAATCAAATTTCACATGTCCAGTCAGCAAGACGACAAACCAGATGCACCATCGTTGACACACCCGGCGGGACTACTTGCACTGCTGTCTCTTTTCTTAATCAGTGATGCTTTCCCTGTGCTCTCAGAGCTATGCCTTCGTCCCGACATGTTCACCGGCCCGGGCTATGACTCATCGTCGCACTGGGACCGCTTGGACTTTCGCAGTATCAGTATGCCGCCATGTCATGAGTTGGACAACATTATTGTTGGTCTTCCGGTCGGTGTATCGACTCGCTGCGTGCCTCGCTTCTGCCACTGGTTCTTAGGATATGTCAAAGAAACATTTCCCATGGATTCGCCACTCCACCATCAGCGCTTCGGAATGTATGCTCAAGCGTTGCCTGCAGCTCTTCCCAAGGCGACGGCCCAGGGTCTCAAGATTATCAACTACCATGCAGGGGCAGAGTGGAGGGAAGAAGAGGTCGAGTTCTGTGAATAAAAGCAGTCCGAAATCGCAAGCTATACTTGTGTCGTAGAATTAGGTAAAGAAAAGTCATGATCATGTAACGATAGAGACGCTACTTGTCGAAAATTGCAACGAACGAGTGTATACGAAACCAGTGGGACAGTCCCACTGGGACTGGGACTGGCCCAGTCTTACTAATCCATCTGAGTCCCACTGATGGTGACCTGCATCAGTGGGACTACAGCTCGCCGGTGGCATAGTAGGCGAGTCCCACCTATCAATGGGGTACTTATGGTGAACTGATGTGAAATTAGATGGCCGCGCAGCCGCCGGCGGTCTTGACCCCTGTGTCACAAGGACTGCAGAGCAATATAGCAAGTAGCCTAGTAGATACAGATATGGAACTACATCCATGGTTTACGGATTTAGAAATTTTACAAACTTTGGATACCTCTGTTTAAATGCCAGTGCTTCGAAGTTATGCTCTGCAAATTCCCGGGCCCGCGGGGTGAAGACCCGGCTGTCTTCCTCGATATCCCATGATTCCCATCCTTCTAGTGGATCTTGCTTTGGAATCTTGGCTGCAGCACTTCCAAGTCGTCGTCTGCGCGCCGCTTCCGTATATTTTGTCTTGGCCGCAGACTTCGGCCCTTTGCACCCTGAGGTGGTGGAGGGTGGTGATTTCTGGAGGTTCTGTAAGCTGTCATTCAAGTAGTCTCGTTCCCAGCCGTTCACAGAGCGGCGGGCAAGCTTCGCTCGCGGCGGCTCCTGTGGAGCCGGAACAAAAAGTTTGACGTTGCCGGGGCACAAAAGATGGAAATCATGATGGGCAAAGCTCCTAGGAGTGATTTCCACCGCTGATGCGTGATGGAATGTCCCCGCATCACGTCCGGCACGTAGTGCCGGCCTAGAAGATCTGGGCACGAGATTAGTCCTGAAATACCTTTGAAGACTGCCCGGCCAGGGCCGGCCTGGCCCTGAACAGGCCAAGGTTCTGGAGCAAATTACCATCACGCGTTCTGCTCTTGGGTCCAGAAGCAGCAGCGGTGGTGCCTGTCGAGGAGGAGAGTACCTGCAGGCAGGGATGTAGGACAGACAGGCTACAGCGCTATCGTCGTCGCGGAGAAGCAACGACGATCGGGCCGACTCACGTGAGTCTGCCGATCTTCTTTCCTTTTCCTCCATCACCAGCAGGACGACTCCGACCTCAACGCCGTGCGCAAGCGTCGCTGCCACCTTTTTTCAGAGCTAAGGTGGTGGAGGGTGGTGATTTCTGGAGGTTCTGTAAGCTGTCATTCAAGTAGTCTCGTTCCCAGCCGTTCACAGAGCGGCGGGCAAGCTTCGCTCGCGGCGGCTCCTGTGGAGCCGGAACAAAAAGTTTGACGTTGCCGGGGCACAAAAGATGGAAATCATGATGGGCAAAGCTCCTAGGAGTGATTTCCACCGCTGATGCGTGATGGAATGTCCCCGCATCACGTCCGGCACGTAGTGCCGGCCTAGAAGATCTGGGCACGAGATTAGTCCTGAAATACCTTTGAAGACTGCCCGGCCAGGGCCGGCCTGGCCCTGAACAGGCCAAGGTTCTGGAGCAAATTACCATCACGCGTTCTGCTCTTGGGTCCAGAAGCAGCAGCGGTGGTGCCTGTCGAGGAGGAGAGTACCTGCAGGCAGGGATGTAGGACAGACAGGCTACAGCGCTATCGTCGTCGCGGAGAAGCAACGACGATCGGGCCGACTCACGTGAGTCTGCCGATCTTCTTTCCTTTTCCTCCATCACCAGCAGGACGACTCCGACCTCAACGCCGTGCGCAAGCGTCGCTGCCACCTTTTTTCAGAGCTAACGGCACTCAGGTACTTGCCTTGTTCTGTGCGCGTTGGCTCAGGCTTGCCCGTTGAACCGCCACTCTTCTCCTCCAGAAACATCCTCGACGACGATGATCATGGCAGAGAAAACGAGGGAGAATGGGGGTCAACAGTGGTGGTGCGGAGGATGGAGCATCTGGGTTCAAGGAACGTTCAAGTGCGTCAATTCCGAGCTCTGCTTTGTAACGTTTCAAATTCTAAGTACATTTGCCGCAGGTCTGAAAACCGGGGTCCCCGCCGCACGCTTCTCAAATCTTCTTGACGGACCTGTAGGCAATATAATTGCCGCGAATATCGAGGACAAGCACTCTGACGACCACAACCACATGGTGTACTAGGAGACGGCTTTATCCACTTCTCTGAGCCACATGCCGTGTTCTAGCCCACCCACACTGGCAACTTATCGTCCTGATACTCTCCAGTCTTCAGCTCCGTTTCTACCCACTCCACGACCTCGTCTCCCTCGAGTCCCTTCACGACATTGTCCCCGGGCTCAAAACACACTTTCCCCCATCTTCGCTTCCTGCGGCGTTTCCCGTTGTACTTACAAGACCCGCGATGCCGACTGCCAATGCTCTTCCAACGGCTTAAATGAACTCTCAAACGTTCGAACAATGTCAAAGCCGGGATACTTCCTCCCACATCCAGACCTCCCGTTCTGCCATCCACATGTCGCCGTCCCAAAATGGAAGTCACGTGAGAGGCATCACGAAAGACGACAACGGAGTATCGCGGGGTACTCGCGGCATACGGCCATATCGACCGTATCGACCGTATCTCTACCTCCCCCATACTATCCTGCGACTACCCAATTATTTCTGCCCCGCCATTGGATACGGATGGCCGTCGTTTTGCGTGTTTACGACGGAGTCTATTTGGACAACATGGGCGTCGTTTGTCGACAGCGGTGGGACCCAACTCTGTTGATCAAGCAGAGGTGTGGGTGGCTCCCCGAGAGCGGAGCACCTCTGAGCTGGCTCTTTGCCCTCGTTTTTCGCCCACAGCCAGGACATCATACCGGAAGGCGACAGGGCCAAAAGGAGGAGCGAATTTGAGACTGGAATCAGTCGTTGTCCGTCTTGCTCATCTACCCCTAGGAATACCACTCTTTCTGCAGCCCAAAGAGGGGTGAAATCACCCATGGACAAATACCGATAGCAGGTTTGCTGCTAAACTCAATCCTACATTCTCAATTCCCTACGAGAGTTTCATCTATCCGCCCAATCCAAACGGTTCGCTCTGTTGACTGTATGTTTACTTGGGATTTAGCCGTTAATTAACGATACCATTTGGCTTTGTAGACATTCTATTCGATCTAATCTTCGCATCCTGGCTTGTCCTGCTTCGCGAGTATCGACCGTAAGGTTCTCTGCAGGTAGGCCACGTCACGTATGTCCTTGGCCGGAACCTCGTTTAGTACCCACGACTTGTGAACCAGACTAGTGAGTTTTAGCGGGACACTGTTAAACAGCGTGTTTGCAGATCTCATAGCAATTCCCTCGAGGAACGGCCGGATGCTGCTATACCGAAGTATATTGTCAGTAAATGATATCGACTCGAGGTTGGGGAGGTAATCGAGGCGCGCAAGGTCCGCCGAACATTGCTTTGCCTCATCGGGGTGCATATCAAACAGGGTTACGGCCAGATGTTTGACCGAGCTGAGCATAGGAGACAGGCCAGTGCGGTAAGCATCGTAGCTCGTTGGCTCCAAGGACAGGGAGGTTATGGTTGGTGAAGATCGGGTTATGAAGAGTTCCAAAGCTTCTACATCCTCTTCACTATTCCAGAGGGAGAGATTCAGCGTTCTCACGGCAGGCAGGTCGAGGAATTTCAGGATGTAGCCCTCGCCCAGCGACAATGTAGACAGGCGGGGCAATCGCACGGGCGGGTCCGAGCCCCAGTCCTCATCTTCCATGATTTCCTCGTCGGATGAAACAGTGATAGAGAGCTCTTCCAAGCCGGCCAGTTGTTTGAGCAGGAGGAGAAGCTCAAGATAATCGGTGGGTTCATGAAGAGTCAATTTCTGCAATTGATGTGTAGGAAACGAGAGTCGATGGACTAAACCGGTTGAGGTTCCGAGAGACAGCTCACGGAGAGAGGGAACATTCAGCAACAAATCGTTGTGCTCAATCGCACGTTCCTCTCCGTGGAAGCTAAGTTTGGTCAGGTGAGGACAATTGATTCTGGTATTAGTTGCAGCAACACCACGCTCCCAGTTAATTGGCCAATCCTCGCTCAACAGGTCAGCTTCCTTCCAGTGCTCAACAGAATCAAATACGAAACGGGGAGCCAAGTTGAGGTCCGTGAGCAGGGCGACATTCATTGGTAAGCCGTGTGCCCGCGGCAGGAAGTGCTCGAATAGTAAGTCGCGTTTGTTGCCGCGGACCCAGTAGTATGTCTGCGTCCACAAGTGTGGGTCTGCGATCGCGATGTTGCGCCAATACCGACAAACAGCGGTAATTGTCAAGCGTATGCCAGTAGTTTCAACACGAGAAGGACCCCAACGCGCGGAGGATAGGGTAGCTGCTGCAAAAATTTGGCATAGAGTCTCGGCGGGGAGTGTGTTGATTGGGTAAACGAGACCGGATAAGTCGTGCTGGACCTCGGCGAGGCGGTCTTCAAGGGTTTGTAGCTTTGTCTTCAGCTCGTCAATGAGTTGTTTGAGTTGTTCTGCCTCTGCTCTGAGCTGAGACTTGGTAGGACTGTCAAGAAAGTCGGGTGTCAGTCGGCACAATCGACGTAAAAACGCGGTGGCTTCGTCGGCACCCTGGTAGCGCGCATTAAGCATTTGATTTGCAGCTCTGGGCGTGAGGCGCTATGTAGGTAGTAAGTGCGAATATAGCGCACTTTAGTACTTGGAGCGATGGTGAATCAGTGGTTCGTCTTGTCGCCGTCGAACTTGTTGGGTCAACGCTAAGAGAGGATTATCTTGTCACGCGTCGCCACTCTTGCCTCTTTCCGCCATCCACCCCAATTCCAAGCAACTACCCCGCTGGTTACAACCTCCAGCTCCATCGATGTTTCACGGCAAACGAATGCTCGAGCTGGTGGACGATGCAAAGACCATGCGACAGAGCGGGTGAAGCGAAGGCTAAGCGGAGCTGGTATCGAGGTGCGCCGTTTACACTTGCTTTCTGGCCTTTTCTAATTGTCTTCCGCAGATATTCATCTCCCTTACTACACCCCTGCGCCCGTGGCTCGATACGGCTACTTGGGTTTTGGCGCGTTCATCTTGCCGATGAGACTGGCCACCGTCCGTTTTGTCTTTGGGATTAGTGCAGTGCGCTACTTAAGTGGACAGGGAATTTAGGGCGATGTCAGAGGAGTGAGAGGGCATTCTCCATGGGACTGGGAGGAAGAAGACAAGTGTGTTTTCAACTTTTCCCTGTCTTCAATTACCTGACGTTTCATCCTCAGTGTTTACGACGCGTTCTTGTCTATCTCCTATTTTGTTTCTCCCCACCTCTCTTGTATTGCCGCAAGCCGCTTGCCACACTAGACAATGAATTCGTTAAATCATCATCATACCGTCGCCTCCTTGCATGCCGTCTGTCTGACTTCAGCATACTCTTGCTTCTTACCCTCACCGCCGTAACGCGCACTCCTCGTGCCATGACTGCTTCCCCAAACTGCAACTGCGACACTCGTACCCTGTTCTCCATCGTCTGGGGCTGCCTTTCAACCATCTTCGCATGCATCTGGGTATCTGTTCACCCCAATGTCCCGCCGCCACGGCCACCACCACCGCCAAAGGATGCTGGCTTTTGGGCGTCTCTGAAGTGGAGGGTAGTAGACGTCAATGTGCCCCTGCGCCGCCGTTTCAAGGTCATGCTGGTTGCGCTATTCGCGCCGGAGCTGATATTTGGCTTTGCGCTGAGGCAGTTTATTATCGCGCGAACTTTTACACGACGTACGGCTCTCTGTTTCTTGTAGTAGAAGGCAAGATGTGATGGCATTTCGATCAACGAGGAAATTACGAAGATACTAACAGTTGTATAAATTAAGTCCCAATTGATGAGGAACGAGCCTCCACAATCTCTGAGGCATACATATTTAGCACTGAACTATTGCGGAAAGTGGAACGGCTATAACTATTCTACAATAAGTGGACACCTTACCCACAACTTATTAAACTACTGGTCTCAACAGACTGAAACTTGAAGCATCGCGCTGAGTGACACATGCATGGTGTCCGCGAGCGGGCCGCCCTCCGGCTTCCTCGCGAGGGCGGAAGCGACAAGCTGCTGGAAGTCAAGAGGAACAGCGTTGTCCCACTGCAACTGCAACTCCTCAGGAAGGTCTTCGCCCTCCCACGGAACCGCGCCCATATCCATCGCGACACACCACAGCACGAGGCCAAGCGCAGCAACGTCGTCCGCGACTGATGGGCAGCACTGGCTCTCGTCCTGACGGTACCAAGCTGCCGTCGAGCCCTCCGGGAAGTAGTCAATCAGGCGGCAGCGCCCGTCCTTGCATAGGATAACGTTGCCTGTCTTCATGTCGCCCCACACGACCTTGTGCAAATGGAGGGCTGCAAGCCCGGCAGCGATGTCGCAGCACCAGGCCAACTTGGTGGTCCACGACAGCCCTCGCGAGGCGCTAGATGCCAGAACCGTCTTGAGTGACGAGGCGGGGTGGTATTCCGAGAGGTGTCCACGGACACGCCCGTCATTGTCGAGAACAATATGTGTTGGAGAGAGCAGGGAATCGTGATGAGACAAAGAAGCGAAGAATTGGAAATCGACGGGAGGGCCGTCCTCTCCGATCTCTTTGAATACCTGCTTGTCGTCGTCACTGCTGTCGCGCGTGACGAGATACAGAGTGTGGAGGCCAAGTCGTTTATGCGTCCATCGCAGGGAAGAGAGAGAGACGGTAGGAAACTCGGGGCAAGTGTGCTCTGAGCCCATCGGCTCATCAGCTGACAGGTCAACGCGAAACTGCCCGTCGGGCCGCGTCTCGAAGACGAAGATGATTCGCCGTTCGGATCGGAGGTCGCTGACGCTGGTCGTGAGGATCTGTGTGTAACTCAGAGCCCAGAGCAGAAGCAGCAAGTCCTAGTCGCACATAGTCAGTGATGCTCGTATCAAGAGGATCGCCAAGTTCGTCGTCGAGTGCATTGTTCTCAGCGCAGTCTTCCACCATTTTATTGCGCGTGTACCGGATGACGACGGTTGTAGTCCCCCCCAACCTCCCAGGCGGCCCCCCGCCAACCGAAAGAATGGTCGCCCCACCGTCTGGGGAGTCCGAGCCGCCGTAGTACTTCTCGCTCTGGACTGTGGGGACCATACTTTCTGAGAGCGGCGTCCACTCTAGCGACGGCGAAGTAGGATTTGCGAGCCTATAAGTAGTCAATAGTCCACAGTTGTTCAAGTTGTCAGGGTTGGGGATTTCACTGTGAGCTTGCTCCGCGTCCCCTTTGAAGCTGGACATGATAATGGCTTCTGTCAACAAAGATCATCAAGCGTCACATCGGTGTCACATCCTTTGACCATCTCGATCTCCAATCTCCGACTCAGAAAAGCATGCTCGCCAGCACACCACCCCCTCGATGCAGTCATCCGTAACACTGGCCCGGCATCATCAAGAAAGGCGCAAAGACCGTCTGCAACCAGCTCGAAGGGGAGGTTTGGGTGTCGTGTCACTGTCGATGTGCGTAGTTCCTTGTTCTCCTTGCTCTCTTCTGACCTGATTTAGTAGTCCATCCTTGTGCTCTCCAGACTGCTCTCGCAGCTGCTTGCCGAAACGTGCACCAAACGGACGACCAGTCGAGACAGTTACTCCGTTTCAAAGTTTATTCTGAATTCACTGGGATAATCATACAATACCCACAACTTCCTGTCCGCTCTGCACGAGCCTCGGACGCCGGCGCATGTAACGAAAGAGCCGGTAGAGGATGAAAATGGAAGATTGGGAAAGGGGGAAAGCCCAAAAAGCTCCAAAAAGGTGTGTTTATCCAGCAACCGCTTGTGTGGACACCGACCTCGTTTGAAGCCCAGAGCACCAGCCTCCGTCTTCAAGTCGTAGATTTAACACCTCACACACTCAACCACAACCATCAACCTCTTTGAAGCCACTGTCGTTATTTGAGACGAATATAAACGAAGGCGCGTTTGTTGCGCACTCCAGCAATCCGAAAGCAATAGTCCGGGCCGCATTCTCGACTCCGAGTCAATCTGGGACATCCGAGTCGACCAGGCCTCCGACTCCTCGATTATGCACGGGTGTGTGAAGCGTTCGTGTCTTTGAGGTCCAGTGGGAAGGGGATGAGCATTGAGCAGAACTTCTGCTGCAGAAGAGATACTAGTAGGATCATTGCGCAGGTGAGAGTTTCAACACTACTTCTGGTCGTCCACACTAACTCCGAACGAGATGTCCTGCTCCAGTCGGTATCTTCCATGTAATCAACAAATAAACTATATCTCCCCCCCCTTGACTTCATTCGCCCTTGCTGCCCTGTTTCCTCTTCATCGCTCCATCTTGCAGCGTCAAAAATCCGTCTCTTGACGATGTCTCCCTCGATTTTGCATAGCCCAACTGGCGCTGAGCTTGATTTCCAGGAGCTCGATTCTCAGAATTCAAAAGGTTGGCGCTGTGGCTCATTGAAATCTCTCTGTGCTAAGGTTTCGTAAATGAATTCTCGTATGGCTTATCTACTTATGGCCTTCGATGAATTCTACCTTACACTGCTTACAAGCTCTCTGCGATACAATGCGGCCCATCCATTTCAGGAATGCGAGACCAGCACAACTCGGATATGGTTTTGAGGTGGGAGCTCGGGGATTTCTTCGGGGCAGTAACAGTATAATTCAACATCATCTCCTTCTTCATGGCAGACAACTCATCGGGCAGACTAACACGACCCACCTCACCGATGTCCGCTGCACGGAGTGGATGTGCGGTTTGCCAATACTTTTTCAGCGCCGTTTGTGTTCTACTGCCCAGGAGTTCGGCAATCGCGGTGCTCTGCGTTTTGGTAGGGACACCTAGCCGTAGGCGGAGAGTTTCCAGGCGCGGGCACGCGTCATCAGACTTGGGCGGGGACGAGAGCTCAAGTTGCCGGATGAAAGAGAGACATTCGCCGGAGTGGTGGCAGGCATCGGTGCTCGTCACGTCCAGATGGGCCAGTTGCGCTTGGAAACGGATAACAGTGAGGACAAGGTGTAGTTGATCAGGAGCTGGCGATACTAGTACACGTAAGCCAAGGAGACAGTTGCATCTCGAGCGCGAGAGGAAGCCTAACACGCCATGAAACGGCGCATCGACGACAAGATACTCGAGGAAGGGCATGTCAATGGTCGTCAACAGCCTGTCAACGGTCTTGCTCGATTGAATATAAAATCGTCGCATTTTGAAAAGATAAGTAACATATCTCAAGGCTTTGTGTGAGCCGATTGCATCGTCGTCTTTGGTAGCGGAAGCCGTTCGCGAGTCCACCACAGTCAACCAACAGTGCTGTAGGTTTTTAGCCAATCGTATAATCCCCAAAAGGTCGTCGAGTGGAGACTTCAAACGAAGATCTGAGAGTTGTTGCCACGATACAGGGAGTATTGATGCATTCCACGAGTGCAGACAGACCCTTCTCAAACGCGGTGCACGTGAAAGCCGGTTCAGGGTCTCATTGGCTGCGGCGATGTAGCCTGCGATATCGAGCGACTCAAGTTTCTCGACACTTGAAGGTTCCCGCAAGTAAAAAGGCTGCAAAAGGTTTTGTAGATCTTCATCGCTTCCAATTCTACCCCAGGAGAGAGATAACGATCGCCAGCGACTGCTGGTTGGCGCGACCAACTCCAGAAGGGATTTCCAATGCGTCGAGCTGCTTGCCTCGGAAATGTGGCCAAATTTGAGCGATATATCGAGGGAGGCCTGTTTGGAACGAGCAAGTTGCGTCTTTATCTGTGCAAGCGGATATTTTCGAGCAAAGTTTTCTGGATCGGACAGGTAATCGTCGCAATCCAGCGACACCATCGTCCAGAATTGGGCATTCTCGACAGCGACTTGACGCCACTTGGAACAAATGTGGGTGAGCATCCGAAGAGTAGCGGTACGACCCCAGACGTATTTGGTCCTCGAGATGCGAAAATTGTCATCACCGTGACGGTATTCCGTCGAATTCTTGCGCAACGTGTCTAGTGTGTAGGAGAAGATGCGGACGATGACGGGAGGGAGGTAATCGACGAACAGCAGAGAAAGCGCTTGGATGCTTGCGAATGAGCTCGCCCAGCTCTCTTCGGCGTTTTTCGAGTAGGAATATTTTGTCCTTGGCGCGCTGCTTGGCTTGCTTCAGTTCTGCCTCGAGAGACGCCTGTGTTCTTTTGATTTGGGCTGGAATACATTCGTGCTGCCACCTGATGGCGTCAACGACAGTGAGGTCGAGACGAGCACCGGCAACTTTAAGCTTGCGATCCCAGTGCCGAACATATTCGTCGGCTTCAAGTTCCGAGTCACCGCTGGGGGGTGGAGGGAGTGCACTATAGAGAGATTATTCTAAATCGTCCTGGGGGGGACAGTTCCTGCTCACCTAGGAGCCCACATAGGACTCGAAAGAACCACCAAATCAGCGGAAGACGAAAGTTAGAATCAAGACTTGAAAGCACGTGCTTTTCATCAATACCTTCAACGATCCCGGCTTTCCATGATATGCTTCTTACTCTCCCTCGAGGTCTTAAGGTTGTCTACGGGGCGCTTCTCTTCAAGTTCGTCAACACGGAGCTAGGTGTCAGTCATATTCAGCAGAACTTCTTCCTCTCTCTTAACCTTCCACATTATAGCTAGCAGCAGGTAAACGGACATTGTCAAAAATACATGTAGATGAAGAGTACAAGCCGATAAATCAAGAAGATATGTAGACTGGGCGTCGTAGAAGCGGAAGTCAATTCTCGAGGACAGCGTCTTGTTCGGGCTCCTACAAGATGGCCATTAGCAAGATTGAACCATATAAGCGACTTGTGGAACTCGCCGTTTATAGCCAATGGGCAATAATAGACTACGGCTCCGAAGACCAAGGGCTAGTGTCGAGCCGAGATATTGCATGATACGATGGGCAGAAGGGAGAATTCTGGGCCAGATTTGTCGAATATGCTGTCTAAGCCTTTCTTGACGTGCCCACGGAGGCGCGAATATTGCTGGTGGGCCGCAGGCGGGGCTGAGGCAGGAGGTTAAGAGCTTGTCACCTAGCAAGTATACCTACTAGGATAATCAATGGCAATAGAGAGCTCCACGACACCTGACAGTGGCGACACTATTGTTGCATGGTGGCTATGGCCCCGAAATCGACCAGGTTGAACGTTGAAGTCTGGCGGAGGAAGCAAAGTAGGGGCTGATAATTTTCGTGGCACCTATGGAACCACCGAGGGGCAATTACGGTGGTCATATAATGATCATGGCGAGAGAAAATCGAGCTCGAAGCCGTAAACGACATTCACAGCCATAGCGCGGTCCATCGGCGGCCAACGCGGCTGATATTGAAGGTGTGGACATGACAATGGGTGGGTAAGCAGAGGGTGGTGCAAAGGATTTGTATTCTGCGGCGCCCACAGCGCAAGACAAGAGCAGTCGGAATGCGGCGTGTAACGGTCACGGGACGTGTGACACGACGTGAGGACATTTTCTCGAGACTGCGATTGTGTCAAAAACAGTAGGGAATGCAGCAAGAGACACATACCAGTGCAATATACATAAGCATAAGGTCCAGCAGCGCTCTTCGCCAGCCAGACAGTCGGCATGGGCCAGCTTCAGGCCGCCACATTATCATGACGACAACATGTGCAGGGAGTATGTGGATTGCCGATAGCTTCGAGTGGTAGTCGTTGGGTTGGGAAACAATGGTCGAGGGGAAATTCAGACCCATAAGGAGCCCAACCAAAGCCAGTCGCCCCTCTCCTACAGCTTGATATAGCGAATGAGACATTGAAGTAGCATGGCTTGAATTATGGGTGTAGATGGCCGAGAAAGACGCCCATTTCGCTCAGCGCCATCTGAAAACACACTCGAAAAAACCCGTTGGTGATTGCGTCTGGGACGGTAGAGAGTTCTGACTCGGGGGAAAGACACAGCTGGGTATGGTCAGTGGAAGTTGTGGCAGAGTGTGCCGGAGGTGTTAGGACCCATGGCGCAACAGATGTGCATTCGCTTCATCCTGCTCTAGATCTCCAAGCTCCAAAACCGATTCCGTCGCAGGAGTTTGGCCCCCAAGCCCGACAAATGTCGATGATTCATTGCGTGCCAGAATACTGTCCTGTAGCGGCAACGCTATGCAAGAATCCGCCCACAATGATGCCGAAGCAGCCTTGGTAGAACCACAAACGACTTGTCCAGCGAGCTGCCGTATCTTCGCCGGTGATGATGACGTCTACAGCACAAAATTCAAAAGCTTGGACTAGATCGTGGTGTGGCGGAGGACATTCTAGAAGACAGGTAGATGGAGGACTATCTGACGATTGACGGATGTTTTCGAAGAGCTGTGGAAGGTATGGAAGTTGGCGGTCCGACAGGTGGGCTGGCCGTCGGAAGCTGAGCGTCGGAAGTGGATGGATGGCGTGTTTCAGCGGGAGCGGTGTAACAAAAAGAAAAAAAGAGAGCTGAGGAGGGCATGTTATGGGGAGGCAGGCTCGTGAAGAACCGACACACCATTCAGCCATCCATACCTGTTTCCTTGGAGAGCCTCTCTAGACGGTCTTCGACAGCAAACGCCGCATGGTTTTGTATATGTTCTTTCGGCAAGTGCGGGTCGGAGGGTGGTAGGGGAACCGCAAGACTTGAAGGCGGTGGAGCTGAAGGGATTTTCCTGTTACTTTGGGGGAGAAAGACGGGCAGACACGCACCTGTCGCGGAGCAGTTAGGTCGCGCACGATGAAGGCTTTACAGTCATCGGGGCATGCGTCGTTTGCGAGGGAAATCTTGCCGTGCCTGTGCTGAAGAGTGAAGATCCAAGGAGTGGACCGGCGGAAGCGTGGAAAACAAACAAGACCAAACAACAGGTGATTATGCGCGACTTCGCGTTGCCCATATTACAGCCCTTGATAACTCGATAGCACGAAGCCAATGACAGTGGCACATTTGCCGACGTGCACCTTGTCTGCGGCCTTCCGAGATTGGCGCCACTGTCGATGGATTTCTTGGCGGCTGAAGCCTGACGAGCCCCACTTCTGCAACAACAAGAACTGCGTTGCTCTCGAATGCACCTAGGCTCGTATGAAGTTCATCTATGAACTAATAGTCGGGGTGGCTTTCCACCAGCCTTAACCGGGCTCTGGCGCCTATTAGGCAGACGACCATCATTCAAAATTATCCACTTTGCCCATTCCCATCGCACGATTACGGCCACCTGTTACTCTTATTAAAACGAAAAAACAATACGGAAGCAGACCTCGGCAGCACCCATGTTGTCCCTTCCTCTCATTCTCGCTGCTGCAGTCGCACAGGTGCTCTCCGACCCGCAACCACTGGCACAAGCACCCTCATCATGGCGGGTTCGTGCTCGACAATTCTTCTTCCCTGTCGCCATTGACCACCTCCATAGAAGCCCAATATCAATACCTCGCTGAAGGATCGAGTCAGCCTCGCTCAGGCCGCTATCTCGCAAGCCATCGGGCAACTGGACACCACCAACTCCATGTTCCCTGACCCGAGTAAGGCGTTGTCTCCATCGCAACACCCTTCATCTCCTTGATATCTTCCATCCAGGCAACACCTACTCCATCTCCGGCGCATTCTACTCCCAGCTTGCGGAGTTCGATCAGCTCACCAACCAGTCACAGTACGCGGCCAATCTCGGAGGATACTACGGCTCGGCAAAGACGCTGCTCCAGCAGCAGTTTGGGGCGGCGAATTTCACTGGGTTTTATGTGGTGCGTAGACACCGAGCTGCTCTCGGCCCTCAACTGATACGCAATCTCTGTCTTCCAGAGTTCCACGCTAGCCCGCTAATCGCTGCTGACGGCAGGACTGAACCCTAGATTAATGATGGCTTGTAAGTAATGCTATTCAGATTTCTCACAGTACTGACCTCTCGCCAGGAACTTCGGGCATGGAGCTATCATCGCGTACAAGACCTACAATGTCTCAACGTTCCTCCAATATGCGATCCAAACATGGTGGGCAGCAGTCCCGTACACCCTCACGCAAACAGCGCTCGATGCGGGAAAAATTCCGTCCAAGAGCTTCAATTTGACCGCATCATGTCAAGGCAGTGCGTGTCTTTCTTTTGGAGCGATTCGCAGCGATTGACGGACGAGGACAGTTACTATGGCTGGCGGGACTTTCTGGGTACGCGTTCAACAAGTCTACAAGCATTCGGTCTGAGAAGGTTTAGAGCAAGGATCAGCAGAATCCGGACATCGTTGGTCTAGCAACTGGGTGCGTCATTGTGAAAATGTGGTTTTCATGCTAAAATCACGCAGGAGTTTCCTTGTGTCTGTTCCCCCGCTTCGGTCGTCGACTGTCTCACTCATGTCCCATCCAGCCTTTCTGCGTTGCTCGCAGAAGCGACCGCGGACCCTCTGTACCTGTCGGCGGCCCTCCAGTCGATGACGTTCATCCATTCGCACCTTTACAACGTCCAAAATGTCGTGCAAGACCTGATATCGGCCCGCGCCAACGACAGCTGCGCGTTGGGCTCCGCGGGACTCCAGCCCTACAACTCCGGCTTCATGATTGAGGGCTTGGCCGTCCTTTACACTCTCTCCAAGAATGCAACTTACAGCAAGATGATCGACGACATTGTGTCGGCCTCTCTTGCGACGACCGGATGGCAAGATGCGACGGGAATCATCCAAACGGGAGGTGAGTCTTTCCTCTTCTTTGAATGAAACTCGACTCAATCTCTGTTTCTTAGTCAACAAGACAGGCGACGGTACTCTTCCACGCGGGTTGGTGGCTGCCTACAGACGAAACGCGACGAGCCCGTCTCTGAGACCATACATTGCGTCATATCTTGCTGTTCAAGTGAGAAGCTCCCGTTTCATATTCGTCACTGACGTCCACACAGTACAACGCTGCAGTTGATTTGGCGAAGAAAAGCGGAGGCGACATCTATGGTCAGTCGTGGCTGGGTCCGGCCGGCACGACGTTCAACGCGGGGGCACAAGTCAACGCTATCCAAGCACTGATCAGCTCCATCGCACTCGACGACCCCATTCTGCCGCCAACGCCGCTGTCCCTGAGCTCGAGCGGCTTTTCCTTCTCGTCCAATGCCCCCGGTTCATCGCCAACACTCCCGTCGTCGCCTGGCCCGACGCACAAGACCAAGACATCTATCGGCGGGGTTGTTGGGGGCGTTGTCGGTGGTCTTGTTGCGCTTGCCTTGCTGGCGGGTTTGGCGTTCTGCTGGGGACGGAAGCGGGGCCATAGCCGGCTGAAGACGCCATCGCCGCAATCACCCAACTCTGCGCTCGACATGAGGGACCGTCATTTTGACTTCCTGGCGGGGTATACTGGCCAGCTTCCCGATGAGCAGCCGCAGTCCACCAACGTCACGGTGGCGTCGTCGCCTCACCAACAATTCGGCGGTAGCCCTCATATCTCGCCATATCAGGTCCACGACCCAGTTCTACCCGTTCAAGTTGGCGGCAGTTTGAACCCGGTCCGAAGAGCGCCTTCACCATCCCCGAGCAGCGAGTCTTGGGCGTTGCCACCGCCAACGCTCATTGGTGCAGAGACGCACTCGAGCTCCGACTCGCCATCTGTGTTGAGCGCAGACACCGGCCGGTCCTTATCGCCCTTGTCCCCCAAACGACGACAAGCCTCGGACCCGGCAATTCAAGCCGTCACGGAGCAACCGACAACGGAGGAGCTGGTGCGCATGTTGTATGACCGGATGAACAGTCGGCCAGGCACGAATGTGGGGGGCTATGAAGAGGCGTTGCCGGAATATCGGACAGCTGTTGTGCCATAGTTCAAGAGGGAGACGTTGTAGCACCATGACTGACACGCCGTGATTCCCTACTCAGGAAGCTCAATCGACAGATTTACCAGTGTTGCACTCTAGCTGTGGGGCAGAATTTGCAGAGCCAGGATGTCAATGGCGATGGTGGGTGTGGGATGTGGTCAAGACGGAGGTTTGAGCCGAGTGGCCAGCCCAAAGACGGCTATTCGAGGGGTACTTCCCAAATCGATTGCATCGGGTCTGATAATTTTCTCGCCGACGGAGAGTGGAGGGAAGACGAGATGGAGTATGAGTAATTTTTTCTACTCTATTCCTGCATGAAACGTGCGATCTAGACGAAATAACACTTTGTGCATCATCTAGACTGAAGCGTACGTATAGAGCGGGGAGATTGGCGCAAGACAGCCGTAGTCATCACCCATTCACAAGGCCACCACTAGGCACACGATACGTTTTGGCGACGGTCAACTATACGTGTTTGTCGACATTACGGAGTTGTACATGGGTGGCGAGTGCGAGATGCTGGAATTTATGGTGTCGGCCCCCGAAACGAGTCTGGCAACACCTGCCCGTTCCAAATGCAGGAGGTGAAACATTATGTTTATGTGGATTTGGTCAAGGCGAAAATATAAATATGCAGGGTGAGTCGATAGTTGAAGGAGGGGGGCGACATAGAAAAATAGTGTAGAGAGAACCGAGGTGGGTCGGGCATTCTTGCCAGCACGAAACGGAGAACCAAAAGTCGTGGATAAGATGCAGAAATGAGGATTTGGTAGCAGCCGGTTGTACACTTGGCTCTGACTGGGCAAAAGAAGTATGTAGTCAATGATTCCAGTGTCGACTGATTGCTGCGTGGATTGTTCGGGTCAAGGGCGGCGGACAGGTGGTGGAGGGACACCTAACGTGCCAACCTATCTCCTCTAATAAGAGGTGGGGCAGGGATGCTGTGCCCCCTCTAAGTAGAAGGCGTTGAGCTAGCCGGCCCTGCACGGCTTAATGTCAGCTTATTTGTTGAGATATCAGAGAAATATCATACTGTGATTGATGCAAATCTTGACGGATCGTCTGTGACCTCCACCATCATCGGACCTCGTCCACTGCCGTCGCCCATCAAGGCCATCAAGGCCATCATTCTCCCGCGAAAAACTTACAAGTCCGTTGTCAGTTAAGGATATCATGTCAGTTAAGGATAGTATTTCTTTTTTGAAGAACAAGTAGGTACATATATGCATACGACTAATACTGTGTTGGATTTGGATTGCCCATTGAGCTCTGTCCATTGTTCTCTTCAACAGGATTTCTCTTTTTACCAGCGTCACTCCTTCTCTTCCTTGGCTTTTTGGCTGCTGGTCCACCCTCTTCCCCTTCCAATGGCCGCTTGCTGCCAATCATCGGTACCGTGTTCGTCTGGTTGATGAAGGGAAGAGGACGAGGGGGTGAGACCAGGGGGAGATGCGAGCTGTGCCGGTTGGAACTGATATTGCCACTGGAATTGGAGGTCTAGAGGCTCCTCATTTGGCCAGAGGTTTTGGCCTGTTAGTAAGCCTGGTGGAGGAAGAGGGGGCATGTTGAGACCATTGTTGTCGTCGTAATGAGCAACAAAGGGCTCCTCCGTATTGTTGTAGTGAGCCACCAGATTTGGAGCGCTGGCGGGGTTGTTGTAGCCTTCGGTCTGTTGGGCGGTAAACAGCGGGGTCCGTTCTGTTGGAATATGTTCCCTGTTGGACGGTGTAGCTTCGTGCTCCGTCTGCGCTGTTGCCACCCCACCCACCCTCTCCTCTGAGCTCGTCTCCAACGGGTCCGGAGTGATCGTTTCCTCCAACTCAGTGGGTTGCTTCTTCCCCCTTTTGACACCCTTGTCGGCCCGAGGCTTCCTCGTCTTCAAGGTGCCAGTGGCACTCTTTCCCCGCCTGACGTCGTGTTCATGGACCAGATCGTCATGCTCTTCTTCATCCATGCGAGCAAGCCGTATTGTCCCCTCAGTGAGCAGTCGATGGAAGCGCCGAGCAGTTTCGGCAGGCCAAAGAGCAGGCCTTTGTCGGAAATCCATGCCGTCAGGGACGCCGACCAGCTCTATCCCTTCGTTTTTCGCGAATGTCGACGTCGTAATTGACCCACGACATGTCCATGGTCTTGTTCGTCAGCTCCTCTGTCGGAAATTAGCTCGTAATTAGGAAAAGAATGAGACTCAACTAAGTTTTTCCGCCATAAGTCGCGAAATTTCTTGACGAATGAACTCGATACCGGTCTTCTTCGTCCCCCTTTCCTCCTGCTCAATGCACCACCTCTCGAACCCATTGATGAGTGTGCCCGGTACCATGTTCAGATACTGCACGATGAAGTCGAGGGCATCCCCCGAGCCAAAGATCAAGGGCTTCGCTTTGTCGTTGGGACTGCCGCCAGACGCTATGATGACCATTCGAATACCTGTACGGCGGTAGAGGCTTTTACCCTGCAAAGACATTAGCTTAGGAAACGCGGAGAATAAGTATACTTACGTTGGTTACAAAACCTTGCAATGTCTCTCTCCCATCTCCTTGCAAAGACCTGTTTGTCCCACGAATCCCGGTCCGCTCGTTCTCGCGCTTTTCTTCCAGCTGGTCGAGCAGGCGTTCCTTCTCTGTGTCGGACATGTCCTCATATTGAATGACATGGTTGTCGATGTCCTCCCGGAGTTCTCGTCGGAGGACGCCGAGGTCCTTCTTCAGCCCTAGAGAGAGTTGAGCAATAAAGAAATTGAATATGAAGGCACCGTACCTTCAGCAGCAGCTTGCCGTGACCGGTCATGCAAAAGAGCATTCCACAGCTGGGGCTTTCTCTCAGCTTTGAAGGTCGACTTGGCCATGAGCAAGCCCAAGACGTCCTCCCGCGACTTCCCGTACTTGGTCGCGATCCTTTCAGCCTCCTCCGCCCGGTAGTCCAAGTGTGCTTCGATTTCTTCGTTGAAGGCCTTCTTCTTCTTGGCTTTCTCGTCGTGAGTGAGAGTGGAGTTTTGAGAGGTGTTGGTCCGCGAGACAGAGCCCTTCCCACGTGCACGAATATCCTGAGGCTTTCGGCCCGGGTTTCGTATGGAGAAGTGCGAAGGATGGGACATGGGAGAGAGAAGGTTGATGTGGTGACGGGTGATGAAGGTCACGTGCCAAGCGCTGGTGCAGAAGGTCTTTTGTTCGAACCTCACAGTGGCCACTTTCTTTTTGCTTGTTTTAATTAAGTCCTTAACTGACACACACCAAGACAAGAGCCAATGCCGACTGCCTTCTTCATATACGTAGACAAAAACAACAATATTTAATTCATTGCCTGATCTCCCAACATCCTTGCTTTTCTTGCCAGCTTTTCCAAGGCCGAAGTCAAGGACGTAGACTTGTTGAAGCCCGTCAAGTCGTTCTCTTCTCTCAACTGAGACGCGTAGCGAGCCGCGTCGTCTCTAAGGAGTACATGAGTTACTGCCGTACCCATCCGGATTTACTTACCGGTTGATGAAGAACGCGGCGGAGGTCTTGCTGGTTACAAGATAATAGTGATGATCGATTGACGTGGGTGAGGGCGGGCGAGCAGCAGCTGGACGGGCAGATCTGACCCCACTGCCTGATGCAGCGGGTTGACTGCTCTTGAAAGCGGGTGGGGCCTTGCTTTTTTGCGGGAGTCGATGGCGCTACATCGTCATCGTTGGGCACAAGCGTAGGCAAAGCTGGCTCTTCACTCTGGGCCGGCTGAGGGACGGAGTCCCGCGCCCCGATCTTCCACACATAGTCGGTGAGGGCGGTAATGGCGGCCTCCAAGCCGCGAACCTTGTGGTGGTTGTTGGCTGACCAGCCGCTGGTGACCTTGTGAGCGTCTTCCCTGTTATGGCTGGTCAGTCAAGCCAGTATGGAGCCAGTCATCACTCACCAGACTGCGAAGATGCCTCGCTTTCGGCCCTCGAAAACAACATAGAATATACCGTTGGGGTTGTCGGTGCCAGCGCTGGAAGGCTCGTATGTCGCGGCGGCGGAGCGGCGAAGACGGATGTACTGGGCCTTTTGTGCCGGTGGCAGGGTTTCGAAAATAGAATCCGCCGCCGGCAAGGCGCCAGCGAGGGCGTTAAGGTGGAAGGCCATGGGAGTTGAGAGATGCCGTCACACTCATGTCACCCACACCCATGTCACTCACACGTGCAGAGATGTCCGTTAAGGATAGTGCCGACATGTCAGTTAAGGATAGTGCTGACATGTCAGTTAAGGATAATATAACAAATTTGACTAAGTCGTTTAGATATGTACATTAATGATGCTACGAGTCTAAGATGCTACGAGTCTAAGATACTACTAGTCAGAGTCTAGGAGATTTGGGTCTACAGGCTTTTTAATACTGCCTACTTCTGGGTCGATTAGATGAATGGCAGTTACTTCATATCTTCCAGACTTCGGGTTGTACTGCCAATAGGGATACTCCCAGCGGAACGGCAAGTCGTCGTATTCGACCGGGTCAGGGGCCTCTTCTGTGAGCCCAAGAATCCCTCTATATTCGTCCCAGCAAGGCTCGAGATCTCTTCGCACCTTCCGCATAGCCACCCATTGAGCCCTGTCCATCGCATACCACATTGAACTCCTCAGCTCCTTGTCTTGAGCCAATTGACCCTCCGCCGTCAGGTAGTCCGGTGAATCCACAGGTATTCCTGGTGGATTGGCGGAGTCCCCATGAACCTTGATGCCGTTGACAAACCCAGTAGCCTTTTGCCCCATCTGCGGTCCTTTCTTGCATGCAGTGCAATAGCCCTCCTTGTCCCAACATTCTAAGCAGACCTCCTCCCGGCACTGCAACGGAAGCAGCGATATCGGTGTCCGGGGGGGAATGATGTAGTTGTCGTCGTCGTCTGGGGTATTGCCACGTAAGACTTCCACAGGGCTGTCGGTCGTAAGATATTCGTTCGCTGGATAAGAGAGAAACGACCTACCGGTTCTGAGTCTGATTGCAGGCATCTTCCACTGCCTTGTCGCTTGGTTTTGGGCCCTGAATTTCGCGGTCGC